TGTACAAAAATGTATTAGAACTCATCAATACACGAACACATAAAGCTTCAAGCTCCTCATCAAAAATATCAATATTGCTGGCATTATAAACATTTTTTATTGCAAGAAGGAGTCCACCTCCCTGCTTTTTACGGGTCAAATGTAGGTTTGTATCCTCTCTGAATATTTTTCTATCATCACCACAAAATTCCGAAGGTTACACAGATTCATTAAGATTTCGTTCTTGAAATTAAGATGCTAATACAATTAACATCGAATTAAACTCGAAGTAAGGATTTCTGTACTTAGAATTCTATTTCCTTTCGAGCAAATAATGATTTCACCGATTATCAATTTATATAAGGTTGAAACGAATAACCAATTCACACAATTTTGCTACAGATTACAGTCAACTTCAACATTGATTTGCTATAAATATTTTTCCCTAAGACAAATAATAAAGAGATTCATGAATAAAATGAGGACAAAATTTCGAAATACATAATCTTTTTTTATGCGGCTACTTAGACAAATTAAAATCAAATTCGGTATCATAATTCAACGTATTTAATTAAAATTATTTGACGTTCCAGGGCTCTCACTTTTAATTAGAACCACCCACCTAATGTAGACGGTTAACCAAATTAATGATTCTGAAATGAATTGCCACAATTTCAACGTTTATTATAAGGAATAAATTTGATAATGATTATTAGTACTTTATAAGGCGTATTAAATAGTAGTGATTTAAGTTAAATTATTATTTAAAGGAAGACAGACGTTTAAATTATACGACATATAAAGGCAAATGTAGCGCTATACACTTGAAGTTAAAGACGTTAATATTTTATAGGATTGTATCTCATGATTGTAATTGATGATGAACCCACTTATTTTCTATTTAAATCAATATTTGATACGTTTCCCTTTCAAAGAAACCCAAACTTCGTTTCAAATTAACCACACAAAAAACTCATCAGGATATTAATTAATGAACAAAACGCAACTCATTCAAGGCCCCCACCAATTTATTAATTGAATCATGTGTTCATCGATCAGAAATACAATAAAACTGATATCCTGAAGGGAATTATTGCTTTTCCTGAATTATATCATGGAAAAATAAAATTTTGAAGTAAAAAAGTAAGTACTTATAGGGAAATTTATTTTGGGAAGATTTCACAAATAATTGAATAAAACATTAAATATTCATATCTGCAAAATGACTTAAAGGGTTTGGGACCTAGCCAAGTCCATAAAAGTTAGGATTGTTGGGAAGTTTAGAAGTAGGGGAGAAGAAACTGTAAAATGTCAAGAAATCTAGAAAAATTATAATTTTGAAGAATGTTGTCGTTATAGGAAACTAAAAACAGTCACAGATGTAGTTTGTTTTTTTTTTTGATACACTTGGTCGGGTGCGCATTTACGTATAATCAATAGGAAATTATCTGATTTTTAAAAGCCGAATTGATAATCTGAACATTGAGTTCACACTCCGTACACCACTTACTTTTATGTTTATTACTTAGGTAATGTGAATGGGAAGAAATTGCTTCATCACAAACTTCACAGTGCAAACTCATGATTGCAAATGAGCCTGACAATCTAAGAAATCTAGTTTCAAACCACATCTTTGGTTTTATCGATCCAACTGTTGTGAGATTTATCAAATCCCAACCATTTCACAAAAACCTTATTTCCTTTCTTGCGTAATACTTGTTCAACGAGAAATACATCAGGTTGTTTTGTTTTCTGTAATTCTTCTTCATAAAAACCCCCACTAACAGGATGGCCTTGCAAAGCAGATAATGTTGTTGGATTTGTTATTTGGATTTTAGCGATTCTAAACAGTTCTGCAGTCCAATTTGGAGTATAGCCTTTTTGGAAGACATATTTGTACTTGCTTATGCGAACTACGTCATCAACTTTGAACTTTTGTTCACCGACAACCTTGATATGGCGGTAAACAGAATCAAGCAATGCCTTTTATTAACTTTACTTGGCTTCATACGAATTGTTAGATGTTTGGTATTTTTATAAGTATCAGTAACTGGTTTCAATAAATCGAGCCATTTATGGTTCCCATTTAATGTAAATTGCTTGAATAGTTTTTCTTTTAACGTCCGAATTACTCGTTCTGCAATTGATTTTGATTCAATACACTGATTTTTCGATACCTAAATAATATACGCCCCGAATGGACGATAACTACGGTTTGAAGATGACACCACGAAACAAGGGGCTGCGGTCAAATTCCGGAAAAAAACGCCAAAAATTTGGGGTTGGCTTGGGCCAAATTTCCGAAATTTCAGATCAAAGGTGCTGCCGATCTAGAGATTTTCCCACGGTATCGAAAAATTTCCCAGGCTTAGGTCATAGAGGGTTAGACCAATGACATTAGACACTGATAGATGAACTGGTAGATGGTTGCACCGGTGCGCGGTGCGATGGTGAACGACCTTACTATCTTTACTATGATTTTATTGCAACTAGAGTAAGATTGATTTTGATTTGAAAGAGGAGCCTTTACAGGCAGCACGTAGACGCGCATGTGGTCCATTGTGCTATCCCCCCCTTGGTTCAGCCCTGTTTTTACCTTAGGAGTCCGCAACTGTTAAGAAAGGTGCACACCCGCTCAGGCCGGATATGCTTTATTTCATCAGGTTCCAGGAAACTGTACCCGAGGTTTCTAAATCTGCGACTGACAAGGGCGTCATATTCGCAGACTTTATGCTTATTAGTTTCATCTATTTCGGCTGTTTCCTCCACTAAAGCCTTACAGCATGACGTGGAAAACTCGTCTAGTTTAGCCCTTATTATCTCAACGTATTGGTCCCAGCTCGTGCTCCGGGGGTTCCTGAACTTACTGGGCCCAGCCTTGTGATCAAGGTCCAAGCTGAATAGGATGTGTCTGTGATCCGATAGGGATGGTGCGTCAAACTCTGTCTACTTGCTTATCATCGGTGCCATGAGTGAGCCCAATGTCAAGTCTATCACCTTTTTTCTACGTGAAATGACAAAGGTCGGTGCGCTGACACGGTTCAGGATTTCTAAATCTGTGGTGTGAAGGTACTCCAGAAGACTGAGCTCTCTTCAGTTCGGGTTGGCGCTGCCCCACACCATGTGGTGTGCGTTAACATCGCATCCGACAATCAACGGAAGGCCCAGTGAGTTACAGTACTCCACCAAATCGATGAATTCCCGTGTTGGGGGGATCATTTGTTGGAGTCATAGGGCAGATAGGCCGAGCAAACTACTATCGATCTGCTCTGTCCCAGTCTGTCCTTGAGGCACAGCTAGGTCTCTAGAGCAGAAGTTAGCAATTGGACTCGATCCGTCTGTCGACATAGATGCAACTCCTTGGGTTCAGTTGGAAGTCCCTTTAATAGAAAAGAGATCTTTCCTGCGTAATCCTCTTACGTCCCTTGTATGCCCGGTTCTTGTAGGAGGTATATAATATGCCCCATAGCAATGTAACGATCTATTAGGGAGGTCGCCCCTTTGCTATGCTGCAAGTTACTTTGAAGAAATAAAGCCGCTTTACCCATCGTATGGGATAATGATTGGACCTATTTCTAGGCTGTGGATGGTCCAGCACGTGTCCCTGGTGGAGTATCATTTTCATCCACTAGAGCCATGAGCTCGGTCACCTCTTTTTCTGGATCTTGAGAGCCATCGACTGGCTCTTCCGAAGCTGGATTAGGCAGTGACGTTCCCTCCTCGGCTGGAGCCGTCACTTTTACGGGCGCAGCTGGATCCTTTGCCCTCGTCACGAAAGTGACAAGGGAAACCCCTGCGTACGCCTAGTAGTTTTGGCGTCGCGAGATCTCAGACAAAGCCTCATCAACTCCAAAAACAATGAGAGCCCTGTTTGGCTCTTCTTTTTGGTGGTACGTCTTCCATAGAATCGTCCTGAGGCCAGGATTCTGTTTACTAAGGCGTTTGAAGATGGTGTTGTTTTCGTCTGGAAGTTCGTGGACTACTGCAACCATCTTGACAACCCTGGGAATGTATTACATCATACACAGCGATGCCCCCTTCAAGGGCCTTATCGAGGAGATGACCCCCTAACCACTCTAGAGTCCACTGGTCTTCGCAACCAACCCTGCGAATCCCAGCGAAACTTTTCGAAGCGAGGGAAGTGGTCTCCCCCCATCTTGTCTATGCCGCTATAATCTTTTTGCTCTGTGGCTCATCGACAATAGTGGTCGGAAACGTATCCGGCATTATGGTTAGCCCGAGCTCAGTAGATGTTGCGGCACTGTATGAAGTCATTTCCGGACCTCCTGGTTTTACCCCAGAAGCCCTGTGCCTCTTCACCTGTGCCGACTCTCCCTTCGATCCCTCAGATCTGAGACATTTCGTCTCGGTTCCTTGGGTCCCCCCGTGTAACGAGGTGGTAGTTGAGCCTTCGCCAAAAGTCTGAGCCTCCTGGCTTTGGCCTTTGCCGCACCAGACCTGTTCTTCTTTTTAGAGAATTGGGTGCCAGTGTCACCAGTCCCCTTAGTGTGGTTTTGTTATGGGCCCTGTTTTGAAGAGCCCCCTTCGCAGCCAGGCTTTAAGACCCTTTGTCCCTTGTGTTTTAATGTTATTTGTGTTTGAAAATTCCATATAAATCCCACGAGTAGTCCGGAACTAAAGGTCCGCCCACACAGCGCCGGTTTGTGTAGGTAAGGCTAGATATTCTGGAAGGTCGCCCAGGGTATCCCAGAGAGTTTAGAGGTTGTGGGAAAGCAAGAAAAAAAACCTTTGGAAATTGTAAAACGTCAATAAATCTTGACTTTTTTTTAAGAATCTAAGGCGTCAGGAAACCAAAAAAGATCTTATAGAGGCATGGAGAGTATAAACTAGCTAGTGAAAAAATTCAAATAATTGAAATTCCAAAGGTTGTCCAAATTAAGCCTGAATGCAATATCTATTTTTAACATTAACCAACATTTCATTTTACAGCTCATAGACTTTTAGGCATTAATAAAAACCCAGAAGCTGGCTTTAATAATAATTATTGCAATTTGTTGCAGATGTTCCTTTAATTTTCGATGCACTCAAGCTAGCAGATCTGAAATCTGCATCGAAAAGCATTAGGCAAGTCGAAGGCCCTTGCAAAAATGTATCAGAGGATATTTCATCATAGTAAGTTAATACATTTATCATTGTAACTATACGAAAAAAAACTTTTCAATTTCCAGTCCACAGTGGGCCTACCGTTGGACTGAAAGGGCCGAAATCTCCCTTAGCACAGAAAATCATTTCCCCCAGGGTTTTCCTACGGACTTTTCTTTACCAAGAGCACCTTTCCATAGAGCTCTGCATAGCATGGAAGGTGACTTTAGCCAGAATGAAATGAGAAGTCGGTGATAATTTGAACTGTTTTCCCCCCTGAACCTAATGTGTCATTTTTCTCTGACTGCTTTCAAGATTTTTTTCCTTACTGTTTTTGACTATTAAGTACTGTGGTATGGTTTTTCTTGAACTTATCATGCTTGGGGTTGGCAGAAACTTCTGAAATCTATTTGTTTACTCAGTTTAAGAAATATTTTGTCATTATTTCTTATTATTGAAAATTTATTTCAGATGGCACAGCTTTGCGTTTAGCGTTAAGGGAAACTCTGTCACACTAATTTACGATTGTGATACAACGATAACTAGATCATTGGCTAGGGAGTCAGCATCGAAATTGAGCAACAAGGGACTCATCACTTTGGGTCACCAGCTTTTAGATGATGGATATTATAATGTATTGTTGGATTATTAGTACTCGAATAAGTCAATTTCCAGGCTTATAACGGAATTATAAATGATTCGAGTGACGATAATTCAATTCACTTGATTTATTATTTGCAGTAAAATAATTATCCCTGTCCTCACTGTTAAACTCTAATGAGATTGCATTATAGATAGGATAATGGTGGTACTTTGTCAGGAGTGTACTTAGGAAATTGAACTTATTCGAGCTTAAAGATATCATTATACCTAATAAGCGTGCTTTCGAAAATTAACACCCGGGTTATAAATTGGACTAATGGCTTTGCGTGACGCTTTCATATTTCCATAACGAGATTCTGGCTACGCATAAAATTCATTTGCATTGAATTAAAAAAGATGATGATTATGATTATTATTTAGGGCGACGTATATCTTTTGCAAATTGCCAGCGCGCCAGATGAAGCTTACGAGTTGTGTCACAAATATGCGTCATGTATGAAGGGAAATTCAAAATGGAACTGGTCCAGTTCTTCTAGTTCGTACAGTCAAGAAAATTATGGCTCGAGATTAAGTTCAACTAGTGGCGATATATCGGAAACATCTTCAGGAACAGGTGATAAAACTTTTGTATGGGGTTTTGATGGTTTTATTTCTTATTTTTTTTGTACTTTTCAGGTTCCTCTTTTAATTATAGAGGTTTTGGGGGTGGAGGTCAAGCAACTCATGATGAGAATGGATCAAGTATTGTTTCGTCTAGTGAAGGAGGATTTTCAGGTAACTGAAACAAACAAAATGTTGTTTTTGTTGTGTGATTAATTGTGTTCTCTCTACCTGATTGTTTAAATATAGTTTTTGATCCCTCCATGAACTCGCGTTATTTCGATGCATTCACTTAATTGACCTGAAATCTTCTCCCACCATTTCTAAGAAATAAAATTTATTTGTTAGACCGAAGATGTGGCAATTTCCTGTTGCCTAATTTATGGGTTCATTTTCAGGTTCCAGAGCCTCGTGATGTCATTTATAAGACTGGCAATTCTCCAATTAATTATTAATTATTCCAATTTTGAACTTAGAATATTGTAAATAATTTGTAACAATGCCAATTTCAATTATTTCCAATTCATAGCTACTAAATCAGAACTTCTCTTTCAATATTGGTGACTTACCTAATTAAAATTACATTATTTGATTCAATTTAAAAGTTTCCAGTTATTATTTTGAGAACTTTTGAATTTTTCTATCATTCTTTCTGGTGTTTTTTTTTCGCTTCTCGAATTTTTCTTTTGTAGGTATAATGTTATGACTGCTGAAGTTTCTATCGTACTTTGAATTAAATCAAAGTCCCACACTTTTTCATCGTGGATAACTTTTTACGTATTGCATCGATTTCTGGAAAGATAGTAAGCCTTATGTAACTTTCCGCAAAATATTGCATTTAACGGTTACACAGGTATAGAAATCATAAGGATGATTATTTTTATAAATTTCTAGGAGACAGTAGATCTGGTAAAAGTGGATTCAGTAATGAAAATCTAGGAAATGGACGAAGTTTTAATTTTGGAGAAGGTTCCTTGAGAGGATCTTTAAGTGGGGGTAAGTGCAGTACTGTCATTCCAGTGAGGTAATAATACTATGGTTGAATCAAATCCAAGCGGCAGTAATTATATTAAATAACCTAAATTTTGAACAGACACCAGCCGATAATCCAGCCTTCCAATTGGTTGAAATGACCTAAAAGGACCAGTGCGCATGTACGGAGGACCTTTCCTAGGTTGTAATGAAAATAACCAGTTAATGTCATTACTGCCGCTTGAATTTGATTCAACTATAGTATTGTAATGTATTTCATTATCTAACTTAAATGACCCAAAATAAGTTCTTACCCTATGGACAATAGAATAATAGCTTTGTAAGCTTTTTATTTAGCCCTCTCTAGCTTGTTTTATTCAATCTTTCAAAACCTTTAAGCATATTATGATAACAACTTTGGCATCCTTATACGCCCCCAAAATACTGCTTAGAATTTTTTCACCCTCCTAAGGAAATACAAACTATAGTGACAAACGCGATTTGAATTTCAATTGAAGGATATCATCTTTGAATATATCAGTATGGCAAACAAAAAAAAAGATGGAAAGAAAATATCTATCAATAAATCTCCGCGTGATTTATGTATCTCGTTTTTATCTGCAAAAATGTATTTGATTACAAAAAAACCGTTTGATTGTTGTGGATTAATATTGGGAATATTTCAAATATACCTACCTAACTTAGATAATACAATTTTTGTATAATAACTTGAGTTCTAACTCAACGAAATGAATGGAAAGTGATTCATTTTCCTCAAAAATAATACAAGAATCAGATTTTTATTGACAAAACTCACACAAAATCGATGATGTATCTGATAATAATAATAGAAAAGAGCAGACAATGATAGTTTCCTCAATAAAGATAAGATCCTGAATTCAATACCTATACGGAATGAATTGGCTAAAATCCCTTGGACTTTTGCCTTCTTTTGGATGTGAATAAAATCAGTGGCGCCACTGGGTTTTATTAATGAAAAATTGTTTAACTAGAAGAACCAATTAGAAGCTGTGGAAGAAGAAATTTTGATTATTATCGGCTCTTGGGTCTTCACTGCCCTTAGAGTCTTGAGTTGATAAAAGTTCAAATTTTAGGTGCTACCGGCTCTTGATTGGCTCTAGGAAGGTTTTTCAACGAATCAAGAGCCGGTAAGAGTTCAAATTTTGATTGTCTGTGATCTTAATCCAATGGATAATTTTTCTTGAGCCAATTAGAAGCTGCGGAAGAAGAAATTTTGATTAATATCAACGTAAGAGCTGCTAATTATCATTGGAAATTTTGATTATTATCGGCTTTTGAGCTTTGAATGCCCTTAAAAAAAATTCTGTAGCGAATCCAGAGTTGATAAAAGTAGAGTGTTTTCACAGCTATCAGACCACATACCTTTACCACTGTAAACCCCCATCCGTGAAGCTCCTGAGTAATTTTTTGACTCAAGTGCCCCCAGCCATCAATACCCACCTCTTCTAAGTAAATGGTCCACCAGATTCACAAATTTTGGGGTTGGCCTGGGTCAAATTCCCAAAGTTTCAGATCAAAGGCGCCGATTTTCCCACGGTATCGAAAAAGTTCTCACGGTTGGGCCGGGTCAAATTCCCAAACTTTCAGATCAAAGGCGCCGATTTTCCCAAGGTTTCGAAAAACTTCCCACGGTCTCGAAAAAGTCCCTACGGTTGGCCCGGGTCAAATTCCCAAAATCTCTAAATCAACGCCTTTAATCTGAAGTTTTTGGGAATTTGACCCGGGCCAACCGTAGGAACTTTTTCGATACCGTGGAAAAATCGGCGCCTTTGATCTGAAATTTTGGGAATTTGACTCGGGCCAACTCCAAAATTTGTGAATCTGGTGGACCATTTACGTAGAAGAGGTGGGTATTGATGGCTGGGGGCACTTGAGTCAAAAAGTGCTCAGGAGCTTTACGGAAGGGGGTTTACAGTGGAGGTTGGTAGTGGTAAGATGGCTGTGCCGGAGGGGGGTTTTACGTGGTAGAGGTGGGTATGAGGTCTGACAGCTGTGAAAACACTCTACTGACTATTACCGGCTCTTGATTGGTTTTAGGGAGGTTTTCCAAAAAATCTTAAGCCGGTAATAGTTCAAATTTTGATTATCTGTGGATAATTTTTCTTGAGCCAATCAGAAACTGCTGAAGAAGAAATTTTGATTAAATCCAACTTGAGAGTTGCTAATAATCATTCGAAATTTGGATTATTATCGGCTCTTGCGACTTGACTGCCCTTAGAAAAATTCTCTAGCGAATCCAGAGTTGATAAAAGTTCAAATTTTGACTATTACCGGCTCTTAATTAGTTCCAGGAAAGTTTTCCGGGGAATGAAGAGCCAGTAATAGTTCAAATTTTGATTATATGCAGCTCCTTCATCCATTGGATAAGTTTTTTGAAGCAACTAAATACCGAATGTTGGATGTTGTGCCATGTCTGATATACAATATAGAAAGATCATGCAGTCTATGCTGAATTATGGAATTTTTCAAGTAATTTTTCAATATTTTCAATTTACTAAATGATTTTTCAGCGGTGGTAACTGGAAGGAATGTACAAGTTAAGTATATCGATCGATATCGGTCATTATATTATTCAATTTTGTTTTAAAGCATTTTTATATATTAAAAAAATATATATTTGTACTTTCCCCTTTCGGGTACCCTTCGCGCCCGGGCCCCTAAGCATCGCTTATATCCGCTTATGCATATCGCCGCCACTGAATAAAATCTTTCCAGCTTTTCGCATTCTCTTGGCCAAGATGCCACAATGTTCTTAGATATTCCAGTTGATGACGTGTAGCACAGAATCCTGGAAATTGCAGCCAACATTTTTTGAAACTGTATGAAATACTGTTAAAGACAATCCCGTGAGAACAACTTAAAGATTGTCGATCTCAGTCTCGAGGAAGGAATTTCTCAATTTTTCTGATGTTTTGATACTCAAAGTTGGTTACAAATCAGTCAAAAATTGATACATAAGATGAATGACGTAATTTAAAAACTGAACGAGAAAAAGTTGCTTCGCTTTTCATTTTATTCGTTTACTCTCATACAATAAACGAATTTAAAAATACTGATGAATTAGAAAATCTTCTGAAACAAAACAAGGAAGTTCTTCGAAACTTTGAGAAATAGAAAGAGAAAAACTCCTTGATCTTGAAGATTATTTTCAAAAATGAAATTAGGAAGTAGCAAATATACTTCCTCAAAATAAATTCAACAAAAATAAAATTGTTGTAGTGACGCAGAAGTAAACCACCAAGAAAAACCGCCAAGAATAAAATAATTGTTAATAGATCTGGTTATTTTGTTGAAAAATGAAACAAACAACGAACAAAACATAAATCAAACTGGAAAAATGAAATCAAAATAAACTACAACTTACCGAAAATTAAACATCCCAGGAGACCACAACACTCAACCAGTTACAGCCGGAACTTCTAGTAAAATGATCTGACCAGCGAATAAAGAAACAACAGAAACTGAAATCCCTTCTCAAAGATCCGTGGGGTCACTCAAAAATAGATGATTCAATTGGAATGTGTCCCTGAAATGCGGCACTTTACTAACATGACGCCATCTGTCCCAAATTCCGCGAAAGCACCATAAATCAGGTGCGTGCTGTATGCCGATAAAAAAACGGTACCGCATTCCACTAAAAAGAGAGCCGAGATGACGTAATCTTGATGTCAAAGCACTCATAAATTGGGGGAGAAATTAGGTCGTAAGAACAAAGGAAGGAAGGAGACAATTTTTATATAAAAAGCCTGAATTGCGATAAAAATAGCAGTGTCGGTTAAGAAGAAGTATCAGTCAAGAACGGTCAAAAGTGTCAGTCAAGAACAGTCAGAACGGTCAGTCAAGTGTCAGACGTAGCCAGCAGATTCCAAAGTCGAAGATAGCACGAAAAATTTTAAGGAGGCAGTGCGAAAATTTTGGGTTCATAAAATCAAGTCGTAAAAATAACGTTTCAGTAATTACGTGTGTGCCAGTAGAATTTTAAAGTAATAAATATATCTTGTAAAAGGAAATTTGTACTCTTTATAAAAAAAAACAAAAAGTTAATGAATCGATAAATTTACGAAAGTTAAATAATTATCCCAAAAGGAATTAAAACATTTTTAAGATGATATTTCATGATTAATAGTTGGTAAAATAAGAAAATTTGAAGCTAAATTTTGTAAAAATAAGTCAGAGTAAAAATTTTGGTTATTATATTTCAAGCCTTTCTGGCCGACGCCCGATAAAGTTATTTTAAATAAAATCACATTAAAATAATAGTCCACAGTTGTGTTTTACTCTCACACCCGTAAATAGGACCCATATCAATCTGTGTCTCCACTCAGAAACAAAAGCCGCCGCTCGCCAATTCAACAACATATAAGTTTCTAAATTGGGATCTCACATTGTCTCTACTAGATACTAATTTATTGCACATTTTTTAATTCCCGACCTGTTTCAGACTTAAACGTAAACCTGGCAGCTAATTCGGAATCCGTTGGAACAGCAGAAGTGGACATCTTTTCCAATGGAAGACAAGAAAATAATTTTAACGAACAAGGCAACTTAATCGGTCCCGATTTTAACCAAACCGCTACCAGTAACGAATTCGAAGGATCTGCCGAAGACGGAATTATCGTTTCACCGACATCTGTTACCGAGACGACTACGGTAACTTTATTTTAACTTTAATAATAATTTAAGAAATAATCAGGAAAATCTTAAGAAATAATTTTTCGCTACGTATATTCTTAGTTTTATGGTAATTGAATTTTCTTGAAGAAATATTTGATGTTTTTCTTGTTTGTTTTTCAAATTGTTAATTCATGCCTATTAGATTCCTGAAGAAGGAAGTGGTGACTACGATTCGGGCTACGTAACTCCTGAAACGCCTTACTACAATCCGAATCGAGGACCGCCAGGTCCCAGAGGATATCCTGGACCCCCTGGAGCGACAGGACCGCAAGGTCCGAAGGGCGAAACAGGCAGGAAAGGTTTGGACGGGACTGTTGGTTTGCAGGGCCCGCCTGGACACGTTTTTATGATACCTGTAAGTTAACAAATCATTCATAGGATGTTTCTCTAGGACAAGAGAGACAAAGAAACATTTATCAAATTTTCGTTAGATTGACCTTTAACAATAATTCTAGGTTAAATCGTAATTGAAAATAGTTTTTATTATTATCCCGGAAGTGCAATCACACTTTTACGATTCAAGCGCCAAGTAATAAAAACGTAATATTTCTACGATATAAGTGTGCTTGACCTTTAGCTATTAAACAGACCGGCCCTGAGTTTTATCAATTTTTCTTAGACAAATCAACAAAGTAACGAAAAAGGTCCAGACCAAGGAGTAGAAGCTTTCAGGCAAATGCTCTCGCAGCACATGGTAAGAAATAAATAATACTTAGCAATCAATAAAAAAGTATCTCGAAAATATGTTAAAGCTGTCGATGAGAGGCGCGGAAGGACCGATGGGTTTAACCGGATTGCCTGGCCCGCAAGGACCTACAGGACCTGATGGACAAAAAGGAGAACCTGGAGATCTTGGAGAAACAGTAAAGATATATTTTTTGTATCTATTTGAAGGGTAATGATTGAAATTTTTATAGGGTCCTCGAGGTGTTAGAGGCCCACAAGGACCGTCCGGTCATCAGGGACGCAGAGGACAGCCTGGTCGAGATGGAGAAAGAGGGTTAACAGGTGAAAATTTATTGTTGAATAAGTCTAGGTAATCAAACAGATTTCTACAAACTTGAAACTAAAAAATTACGTGGAAGTTTGTGACCAATGATTCCAAAAACAAAAATTGTAGAGGAACGATTTTTGTCAAGCCGAGCTTTAAAGAAAGTAAGGAATGAACTGAATGTATTTTTGTTTTGTTTTTATAAATATTATTATTATTATTATTATTATTATTATTATTATTTATTATTATTATTATTATTCTCTCAATATCACACGGTTGTTTATTGCTGTGGTGGTAAAGAAAATCCACCGAAAGCAGACTTTGCTCCTGGGGTGAATTTCCACAGTGCGCGGTTAAAGGACTTTGCGTACGATATGTGTAGTGCTCAGCACAACAGATTTCTGGAGAGTTAGGAGATTGTGGGCTCTCGGAATGAGGTCGATGGCTTCTTGAGTTATTTTTGATATCAGTCCTGATGCACCAATTACCACTGGAATTATTGATGTCTTCATATTCCATAGCCTTTGAGTTTCTATTTGTAAATCTTTATATTTAAGATACTTTTCAGCTTCCTTTTTAGTTATGTTGTAGTCCGATGGAATAGCTACGTCAATCAGCAGGCATTGCTTATGCTTCTTCTTTTTCAGGATGATATCCGGCTTGTTGGCCTGAGTTGCTCGGTCGGTGTGCACCTGCATGTCCCAGATGATAGTAACTTCGGAGGTGTCTATTACTGGAGGTGGACTATGTTTATAACATTTGTCGTCTACTGGAATATTGTGGTATTTGCAAATATTCCAGTGCAGGTGAGCAGCAACCAGATTGTGGCGGTCGAGATACGCCTTTTTTGCTAATATTGGGCAGCAGAGACGATATGGTGGATGGTTTCTGAGTGTATCCGACATAGTCTACAGACTGGGTCATTACCAGATTTCAAGATCCTCGTCTTCGTATAATTGTTTGCTATCGCCTGCTCGTGGCAGGCAGTTATCAAGACTTCGGTCTCTACATCTTTCAAATTTTGGCCATGCATTGGTTTTTCTCTCCATTTCTCTTTCTGTTCTTTACTTAATTTGAGTTTTATTCTTTCTTTAATTACTTTAACTGTTCTCGTTTCAGGTTCCCCGCTGCTAATATCTTCGGCCTCAAATTTATCCTCTTCCTTGTCTTTCTTCTTTGGTTTTTAGTTTTTCCATTTATTTGGTTGAGAACGATTTTAAGGAATTTGTCGTCAGCCTTTAGCTCTAAGTACCTTTCAACACCCGTGAGGGCGACAAAATAGCTTGCTTCTATATTGAGTAAACCGCGGCCTTCATCTTTCCTCGGGACATAGAGACGGTTCACGTCGGCTTCCGGGTGTAGGGCGCCATGCATGTTAAGTAGTTTCCGCGTCTGTCTGTCCAGTTTTCGGATTTCGGCTATGGTTCACTCGACAATCCCGAAGCTGTAATGAATTACAGGAAATGCAAGGGATACGATTGCAGTAATTTTGTTTTTAGCGTTCAACTCGGTTTTTAGAGCTGCTCTTACTCTTCTGTATAGGGTTTCATCGAGACGAGAAATCTCGTCTCGTCTCGATCATCGAGATGAGAAATCAACAAAATCTCGTCTCGATGTCTTTCTCGAAGACAATTTCTCGATCTTGATTCGAGATTCTCGAAATTTCGAGACTCTCGAAAACAAAAACTGAATGTTATTATAGTTATTTACATCACAAGTGCGTTTATGAACATGATTACAATAACGAGTGTGAAAGATTAGAACAACGAGGTCGTAGACCGAGTCGTTCTAATCACACGAGTTTTGTAGTCATGTTTAAACACACGAGTGATGTACAACGTTTTATTTACAAAGCGAAAAATGAGAATGTTTTTTTAATTATTTTCGTTTATAAGTAGTTGTCTACCTTCATTTTACCTTTACAGGTTTACCTTTGACATTTGTCAAATCACCAAAAATAGTTGTGTTAAAGATTCATAACTTAGTCTATAACACCACTAGTTGTGTTATGAATTCATAACCTAGTCCATAACACCACTTGTTGTGTTATGAGTCTCATGACATAACTCAAATACTAGAAAAATGGTTATGTAAAAACGTCATAACCAAACGTTTGTAGATAAAAATATATTATATGTATATAACCCATATACCTATTATACTAACGTATATCGCGCCTTCCCCATTTACCCAATGTGCGGTTTTTGAAGCAAACAAAGAGAGGTAAAGTTATAGGATCTCGCATAAGTCTATCTTTGTCTAACGAACGAGACCGAGGTTATGAACTGCGCTTGCGTTAAACTCTAGATTCTTATTGGCCGGCGGTTTCCATTTTGCATCAAGCTTTTCGTGCCGTGTTGTCATGTCAAGCTAAAAAGCACAATAAATTAGGATCATTTTTTGAGGTTATAATTTGGTCGATTGTATTTGGATTCCAAAACACTAATAAAAATGAATATATTGGTTTATTTGTCGAAATCGAGTATGTGTTTCTTGTGAATGTTTAAATAACTCGAAGATGAAAATAACGTTCGTTATTGGCAACCCTGCAATATCAGCTGTTTAAAATGAAATCTTATTGGAGGAATAACTTCAAATTGACGCATGCGCATTGGAAAAACGAGTTCACTCGAGACAAAGAAAGCATCGTTCTATCTCATAATGTTTGCTTCAAGAACTCAAACCAACCCGCAATATACGTAGTATAATAAATATATGATATAACCATTGTATATACAGTGGTTTAACAATAATATAACATAAGTCTGCACTTAAGGTTTAAAGTCAGGCCTATAGTTTATTACAGCAACGCGAGATGTCAGTACTGTCGCCCCTATAGTGTGCCCTAACTTGATAGTGAAAAAAAATAGAAATCTGCATTTGATTAAATTGTGTGATGGAAAGTTATTTCTCTTTTTTGCGGAAATTCGAAGTATTATTCTGTTTTACATAAACAGGGTTGTAGTTTGGACCAACACAAATAATTTTGAACGTTCATCCGTCGGATTTTTTTTTAAAACAGTGTAGCTACAGGCGTATTTCCAACTATTTTTGCAGTAGCGAGAAAACTACAAGTTCAAAAAATTTGAAAAAATATATGTCGCGTAGAATTGCAATACTAGTTCGTAATAAAAATAACGGGAAACTTCATCTATTCGTTTTGAAATAAATGGTGAAAAACCACTTTTTTTTTCAGTTTTTGCGATATAACTCAAAAATGGCGAGTCAAATTTGCTTAAAAAAATTATGGATTAAAGTATATCAATAACCTGACCAATTATTGGCCCATAAATAAAAAAAATATTTTTCCAAAAAGTGAAAACTTAAGAAATCCTTTATCTTTTTTAAATTTAATCTTTTAGCCATACATTTAGAATTTACCCAAATAGGTACGAAACTTTAAAATTGTTTCTTTGTTCGTGAAGAATGCACTTGCAACAAACTGATTATACAGGGTGTCCCACAACGTTTTTCTCAAATGATAACTTCGGAACGCGTCATCCAATATAATTGAAATTTTGAGGATCTGGGTAACTTTTTGTGTCGCTCCTTCCATTGTCATCCAATATCACCACTTTCGCATCAATTTCGATCAAGTGACGTCAACTTTCGAATCTTAAATGTAACTGATGGTATATTATGGCATTTTTGGTTAGAAAATTAAATTACAAAGTCGACAATGCCATATTTATTAAGGGTTTGTTAGAGAAAATGATAAAAAATTATACAGTGTATATACGATGATGCGTACCGAAGTTGTCATTTGGGAAAAACCTCGTGGGACACCCTGTATATTAGCTTGGGCTAACATTTCTTGGATTAACATTTTTTCTTTAAGAATATGGAAATATTAATTTTTTGCTTTTGTTATTTGCTTAAGTTATCTTTGTTTTTTCTTTATGTTTTAATTTTCTTATGTTTAAAATCAATTAAAATTATTTCGTATTCCCTAACGTAGTCTTTATTTTCGCTTTTCTGACCTATTAAGAGTTTTCTGTGCTTTAGGTATTGCAGCACTTACATTTTTTCGAGATCGAGAAATCTCGAAAAAATTTCTCGATCTCGAAACATCTCGAACTGTTTTTCTCGATCTCGTCTCGAAAAAAAAAATTCAGTCTCGTCTCGAAATCGAGTCGAGACGAGACGAGAAATATCGAATTTCGAGAATCTCGTGAAACCCTACTTCTGTAATATTCGTTGGTTAGCTTCTTTTTCATACTTTTATGCTGGATGCCTGTGATTCTGTGATATAGATATTATTTCTAATGCATTCCATTATCACCTGTATCTAATAATAGCTACGAATAAAATTGTAGTAAATAAATCTTTCTATATTGAGACTTTATTCGCAAAAAAACTCAACTGTGGTATATTTTTTCCCAAGATGGATTTTGTCATTGAAAACTTTGAAACATAAATAATACTGCTTGGCCCTGATTGGTCGCAAAATGAGGTGTCCCTGCAGGTTAACAACAGTCCTGCAAATGACATCTTGCGACCAATAAGCGGCATTGTTTATGTTTTAAAGTTGACATTGTCAAAATCTATCTTGGGAAAAAATAAACTGTAGTTTTACAATTCATACACATTCAACAATGTCAATGTGACAATAGTACATTAAAATACAAGTTTCATAAGACGTCATTTTATCGCACGAGCCCTATATTAGAAAACGAGCCGGAGGCGAGTTTTCTAAAGGGCGAGTGCGATAAAATGTCTTATGAAACGAATATTTTATACTATTTTTTCTATTTTGGTATTGTTTAATTAAAAAAAACAAATTTTTCTTGGAAATTTTATTCTCATATTTCCTGATTTCATGTTTAGGTTGGTAACACTACATGCCAAATATAGAAATCTTCTTTTTTATTTTTATTTTTACCATAATAAAATCGCAAATGACAGTTCGATGGCCATCAGTCAGCCAGTGTTACCAACTTCCGATAAGTAAAAAAGGAGTGTCACAAAGAGCTTCTTTTCGAAACTACTTTTAGTGTCGAAAAAACTTCGATATGAAACCAAAATAGAAAAAGTATTTATAACAAAAAAGCGAGCAAAAAAGGTATTACTAGTAGCTATTCATTAGATACAGGTGATAATGGAATGCATAAAGGCTCGTTTTCACGGTGATAGTTTTTGCAATAGTTGCTGTCTCGATAGCAACTATCACATAAACTATCACCATGTAAATATCCCGATAGAAGCTATCATGCTGTCGCACTATCTAGCTTGACTAGATAGTTGGGAATAATTTCGTGATAGGTAGTGGTTGTTTAAATAGCGGCCAGATGGCTGACAATCAAAATATCAAAAATTATTTCCATAAAATGATGAACTAGCGGTTTGATGTAATAAAATTTTATGGTACACTTTGGCACTCAGTAAAGGTACTGCAAAGATCCCAGAGAGTCGCCAGTATTTAGCAAGGTATCGACAAGCTATTTGAAGTTTTAGCTTTGCTGATAGAGGCTCTTGCATAACAGTATTATTCTTTTGTATCTTACTTCTAACCTCTCATTTATACGTAAGAAGTTTAACTAACTTCTTGAATCTTCTACAGCAAGTTCATTCAGTAGTCGTTCAGAACCACCAAGTGTAGTCCTTCGAGCTATCGATTTTCTCACCCATATATCTTCTTGGTTTTTTTATTATTTTTTTTTTACGTTAAATTTTAATTATTTCACTATGGTTAACTGCGTATCGGCCATTTCGCTATTGATTACTGTCATGATATTTTTTGATACGTGTAGACATCTCACTCTCATGATAGGACTATCGAGGCGACTATCATGAGAGCGCTCTCATGAGGGTACTTTTACCGTGAAAACGAGCCTTTAGAAATAACATTCTCCCCCAGTCTAGTTTTTGACATAATCTGAGAAATACTTTGGCTGAGTTCGGCTTCTAGAAGATCTGCTTCGTTGATCTTCAATTCATGGTCTTGATTCAAGTGTCCGAATTCTTCATTTTGATTAAGGTATCTCGCAGCCACCAGTGATAAGAGTTTCCCAGCGTCTGGTAGCATAGATTGACTAGATTCTGAAAAATCATTAGTGATTGGGCACACAGGATCCGCTTCATTGTATACTGTCTCAGTAGGATTTTGAATATCGCTATGTTTCGAAGGTGCATCTAAAAGTTTTATATCTCCTCTGGGTGCCAAATGTTTTACAGAAACAGTGGTTTCCGTTCCATTTTTGTGTCTAATTAAAGCATAGTCTGGATTAATCTCTAAGAGTTCAACCTCTTCTATCAAAGGATCGTATTTACTACGTCGTGCATGTTTCTTAAGCAAAACAAAATCTGATTGTTTAAGCCATGTTGGAACTGACGTTCCATTAGTTGACGTGCGTTGATAACTAAATAATTTCTCATAAGGCGTACAGTTCGTTGCAGTACAAAGCAAAGATCTAATGGATTGTAAGGCATCTGGTAACACAAGTTCCCATTGAGTAGTTTTCAGTTTTCTAGATTTGACTGCAAGGCTGATAGATTACCATATACCATTAAATCGTTCAATTTGTCCGTATTCTTCCGGATTATACGGTGTAGTTCTACTAGAAGCTATCCCACGAGAATGTAAATATTCAGTGAGTTCCTTTGAAATAAATGCTGATCCGCGATCCGAATGTATAAAAGCTAGCATTCCAAATAATGAAAACAGATGATTTAAGCATTCTATAACAGTAGAAACTGATGTATCTTTATAAGGAACAGCAAAAGGGAATCTTGAAAATTCATCTACTATATTCAGCGTATTCATTTTTAGTATGAGAACTTGGTAGTGGTCCTTTAAACTCAATATTGAGCCTCTCAAAAGGTGATGTTGCTTTTATTAAATGAGCTCCAAGATTCTTACAAAATCTAGGTTTTTCTTCTGCACATACAGGACAATTCAACGTCATTCTTTTTACTTCTTCCAAAGAGTAACTTTGACAAAATGGTACATTTTTGTTATTCCAGGGTGACATAAATGTTTATGTAATTCAAATAAATTTGTATCATTTGAAACTGAACCACAAATCCTTGAGGAAGTATCAGCTGCAACATTTGATTTTCCAGGACGATAGATTATATCATAGCTATAACAAGAAAGCTTTAATCTCCATCTCATGATTTTATCATTTTTGATTCTAGAATGTTGCTGTGAATCAAACATGAACGACACCGATTTTTGATTCGTAACAAGCTTAAAATGTCTTCCAATTAAAAAATAAAGCCATTTGCGTAATGCTTCTACACAAGCGTATGCTTTTTTTTCCACAGCAGAATGCTTCTTTTCAATTTCTGATAATGTTCTCGAAAAAAATCCAACAGGCTTAATGTAGCGGCAATAGCAAAATCCGATGCATCAGTTTCAACGATTAAAATTTCATCTTCATCCATAGTACAAAGAAGGGAATTTGCTATGTCTGTTTTGAGTTGTTCAAAATCCTGTTTGACTTCGTTTGTCATGGGAAAAGTTTAACAGTTAATCAAACGTCTAATTTTATCTGGAAATATTTGAGCCCACCTCGAATAATGTGAAAACATGCCCACTACTCTTCGAAGACTTTGTATATTTTCAGGAACTGGCAAGTTTAATAGTGGTTTTAGTCTATCCGAATCAGGTTTCAATGTCTTGTTTTCAATAGAATATCCTAGTAAATTAATAGATTTTTTATTATATACACACTTATTTTGATTAAGTCTAAGCTCGTATTTCTTAGTTATTTCTAAAAATTTTGCTAAATTTGAAACACGGGACTTTTGATTCTCCCCACATATTGTCACATCATCTAAATATGAGAAAACACCTTGTAAATTTTCTTTTTGGATTATTGAATCTATCACTCTCTGGAAACAGGATACTCCGTTTGTGACCCCAAATGGAATTCTTTTAAATTGATATAGGCGACCAGCTGGTTCAAAAGCTGTAAAAGATTTATCTGTTTCTCGAATTGGAATTTGGTGATAAGCAGATTTTAAAATCGACCAGATAATTTTTCACTCATGCGTGTTTTCTTTGCAAATTTCACTCGTCCTACGGACTCGTGAAATTATAAAAAACACACAATCATGAAAAATTATCGGTGATTTTAAAACTCTCGTGGTATTATCCCCGACAACACATACAGTTTCTCAGATATAGAAAGACCGAAAAAAAAGTTTCTTACTCGTAATGAGACACTTTCACATTGAATAAAGTTAGGGTACGTAATTTTGACTTTGAGTTTATGATTATTCATCTTTTATTCATCCTTTCATCCCAATCAAGATTTAATTTTAACAAGTTAATATTTCGTTTGCTTATGGCACATTCCGTGAAACTTATCTTTTACAAACAAACTTTTCCCGTATACGAATTTCTTGAAAACTTGCCTGGCGGATAATTAAGCAACTTCGTTCGCAACTTTCAAGAAAAGTATAATAATGAAACATTTAATTTGTAGGTTCTACAGGATCGAAAGGCGAACAGGGTCTGATCGGATTACCAGGTCTTCCTGGCGATAAGGGCCACCGCGGTTTACCGGGTACTTCCGGTGAAACCGGTTTACCAGGACACGATGGTATGCCTGGGGATGACGGACCAATTGGTGCACCTGGATTACCAGGAGAAATGGTAACGATGGTGTTTTTATTTTGGTGTTTTGAAATAATATCAATTAGTGGATTTCTAATCAAAAAATGAAATTAAATAATGACGATCGGCCCCGTAATAATTGGAAATGCCACAAGAATTATGGATGTTCCAGCTGTTATAGTTTTTGAGATTTTTGAGCTTAAACTATCAATTAAATTTTCAACTTGGTTTAATATGTTCAAGCTGAAAGAGGGCAATAGGTAAGAAAGCAGTTGTCTGAAAACTACATAATATTGTTATAAATCTCTTAAATTGCGAATCATCTAGTAGACAATTCTAGAAGCAACGACGCGCTATGAAACGGAGTTCCCCGTATATGCCAGTAAGTGGTGAATTTTAATCGCATAAGATGATAGTAAGACAGCAGGTTGTGATTTAATTTTGTGACTGGTTAAACTTAATAATTATTGTTGTTGAACGAAGTGTAAAGTAAAAGTTAAATGTAATCTAATAATCAAAAATTGAAAATGAAACAAATTAACTTTGACCCAAATTAATTAAAATATTTAAAATACGTTTAAAATTTTATAAGTTAGTCACCAAGCGTGTGTCATCGTCATCACATAAATCAAATCCATAAAAATATTAAAATCTAGGCAAAAGTAATTAAATTGGTGATTTACGGCCGACACGAGTTTCGGCATTCTTTGATTTATTGATTTATATGTCCTCACATTCTTGAACCAAATCTGTTGACCCCGATAATCCAGAAAATTGCGACATACTTAATTATTCGGTTTTGAACAAATAAATTATCGAGTAAATTATATTTCTTGGAAAAGAAGAACGGTCGATGGCCAGTGTTGTGTAAAGAGGCCCCGAAATATTTTTGGGGAAAAAAAAAACAGTGGTTTCGGAATTATAGAGTCAGTTTAAGCTTAGTCTTCACATCAGTCCCGTTGAGTTTTCAGTTCAGTCTTGAGTTTAAGTCTACAGTACCTATGAGTCAGTGCGGATAAAATTCGCGAAGAGTTTCTTTTATTTTGTTGCCTCGGGAAAACGCGTTAAATCGAATCTTTGAAAAAGTAACGGAAAATTGTGGAAGAAGGAACATTTAAATTCGTTCAACATTATGTGCGAGCTCTAAAACAATCAATTATTGAGAAAGACTCAATAATTAGTAGTATTCAGAAGTGGCGAATTATCTCAAGTATAAAAAGTCGGGCCTGGGAAAAAGTAGGAATTACAGTAAATAACTCGAATTAAGAAAAAAAGTAAACGTTTCAGTTTCTATGTGCGAGCTCTAGCTATTTTGAAGTAAATAATAATTAGAATAATTATGTGACTTTAAGGGCGATAATTTAAATGTAAGTACTCTAGTGACAAGTTTTATTTCGACTTTATCAATGTTGAAATGACTATGAAGTGAATTGACTATAAAACTTTATTGCATAATAATATTATTATCTTGACTTTGAAAATTTTTGTACTTAGTATAGAGAAATTTAATTCAAATGTTACTCTGGCTAAGTACACGATTTCAGGAATTTTATACGCTTATAGAACAGGAAGTTATAACAATTAAACTAAATTATGAATTCTTGTTTTGAGATGTAAAAGGTGTTTAGGATTTAAAAATATTGTACCTAACGTAGTAGGGCTATATGAAAGTGTTATTAAAGCACAAGGCTTTTTGATTGCATCATTTGATTTACAAGCCCAGAGACAGTGTAGAGGTGGCTGTACGATTGCATCAATTTAGAATTGTTTATTTACATCTTTAAATTTCCACTAAACTCACAAAACGCTCTATTCTTCTTGATCATAAAATTGAAATGGATATCTAAATTTAAAGCCCCATTTTAAGCCACCAGACAGGCTGGAGTCATTTATTTAAAATACACCCAAGTTAAATCGGCCGTAAAGTAAACTGAAACACGATGCCCTTTGAGATCCTTTTCATGCCGAATTGCCAAATAATAATAAGCCTATATATATTATACCTCGAATAGGTATATTGCGGCAACATTTAATTTCCGAAAAGGCAAAATCCTCCCTGACGAAATCCTTTAACACAAATATCACTTTTTTTAGGGTCCTAGAGGATTTTCCGGGCCCAGAGGCATGCCTGGTTTACCCGGCAACCCCGGAATACCTGGAAACGAAGGTCCGCACGGTATCAAAGGACATCAAGGGCTTACAGGTCCCGCTGGAAGTCCCGGTCAAAACGGCCCGCAAGGACCTATCGGTCCGCCCGGACCTCAAGGATTTTTAGGACCGCCAGGAATTGCAGTAAGGATTTCTTATTTTTATTATTTTAGAGCTGAAATGTGTCAGTGCACCGATTTATTTTCAATCATACTGTGCATTAAACACTGTCCGTCAGTTGAAAAAGATTAAATGAAAATTGAATGAAGGCTTTGGGATGAGTTTAATATGTTTTTCAGGCTACTAGGTTACAAAGTCGAATCAAAATGAGATTCTTATTAATGAAAGATGAAAACTAAGGGAAAGATTTGAAGAAAATTGGGGTCCGTAGTCAGGCAAATTTCGATTTTGGGGTAAAGTTGCCTTCAGTTCGAACAAGTTAAGAAATATTGAATATTATACATTAGGGCCATTTTTCAATACATTATAAAGTCGGCTTTTTTGATCTTGCATCAAAGAGACTAGCAAACTGATATATTCATGTATAAAGGCAAGATTATGTAATCGGGCTTCGCTTTCAGACGAGTTGGAGAAATGTAATATATTACCGACTTTTATAATTTCAGGGTGCGATCAAATTTCATTTATCGTCAATTCAAAATTCGTAAATTAATTGCGTCAACAAACTTTATAACGTATTCATAAGATTAAAAATCATGAACTGTAATTATTATTGACATGAAACAGAGTTCCATGACATGGGTAGAAGTTTTCCCATTACCTTTTGAGAAATATTAATTTTGGGCGTATAGCAATTAATAGTTGCCAAAATCAATATTAATATCCCTTTAAAAACTTGTTATACGATATTCAGGAGGTGTCAATGTACCGAATAAAAATAAACGAGAAAGTCTTTTGATAAAAAACGGGTATTTTCTAAATTGAATTTTTCCTTTTATTCGGCAAGAATTTTTTTTTTTCCGATCATGTCTAGGGCAAAATGATAAATTCAAATGAAAAGCTAATCGAGCGAAAGTGATGGAAGAAAACCAGCCTTGTACTTAACGAAAATGTTTGTTGTTTTTTGCTATTGTTACTTTTAAAAGGTGAATCAATTTGTTTAGTGTTTTTTTTTTTTGGAAAATGTTAGATGTTTCATTAGATAATTTAGTCATTGTTCAGGCTGTGTGCCTGAAGATTACACTTGCTTAAAACTACGGCTTGAGTTAAGCAGCGAGTTAACAGGTCAGAAACCGAGGGTTGGTTCTAAGTGAGCAGCAAATAGACATAACTTCTCCCTTCTTAGCTTCAACTTCCACACTAGCGGTTTTCCTCTGGAACGGGGGTGGACCTCTTCTTCTTCATGACGGCTTTTACATATTTCCTGTAAACCAAGAAGATACAGGCAATAACGATGAGGACATAATATATAAGGATTGTCCCAAGGCTGACCTGTATGCTTTTTAATGAATATTTTTGGTTCTGATTGGAATAATGTTGGTTTATCGGAAGTTTCATTAATATTTCCTATAATTTTTTCTTTCTGATTTATAAGTTTTTCATTGATGGTTGAATATAAGAGTTTAGACATTTTTATGTTCTGTTACATAGGTAATCTGTCAATAAAAATTAGTCTTATTTAGGATCGTTTGGGCTAATGTGTCCTGAAATAACATCTATTGGTTTGAATTTAGTCACCGCAAAAACATAAAATATGCTAGGATTGGATATTTTATGTTTTGACTGATAGGTATCTTCAGGAAGCCACGATTATTTAGAATTCCTACGTGTTCGGATAAGGTGGAGTGTAATCTCTCAATAACACCGTTTGACTGAGGATGCTCGGGCGAGCAAAAATGAATTTTTATTTTATGAAGTTGTAATAATTCTGTGACCACTGAATTTTTAAATTCAGTTCCGTTGTCTAAAATTATTTTAGATGGAACACCGTGATGAGAAAAGAACGATATTAAATTATCGCTAATTTCGGTGGCTGATAATGAATTTAGAGCGTACTTGGAGATACTGTCAATAATTGTGAGAAATTTAAGTTTACCTAATGTATATGTATCAAGGTGAATAGTTTCTAAAGGTTTGGTTGCCGGGGGTGTAATATTCATTTCCATGTTTAGTTGGTGCCGTTCATATTTACTCCGTTGGCATATTTCGCATTCATTGATGTACGATAGATTAGACTATTTAAGATTTGGACAGTAATACTTTTCTTTAATATGTAGGTACTTCGGTTTCCTCGATTCCGCGATGGTTCGTATTACTCTCATGGTAGTTTTGTATTATTTTCGGTATAGGTACTTTGTCTACTATGTCGATTAATTTTTTCAAACATCTTTTAATTCTAATCGAGGGCCATTTTAAAATTTTTCCTAACCACTTCGCAAAATGGTTCATATCATGTAACTGGGTTCTCGAAATAAGCATAGCATGATTTACCTGGAATAACGTTTTCTTTTATAAAATTAATAGTATTATTTTCAAAATCATTTTCCGATATTTGAACTAAAAATCTTCTCTTCTTTTCAAATGAAATTAGTCGTTTTTTTGGCAGGTGAGTGCGTGACCTTTGTGATGATTATTTGATTTGCTCCATAGTTAACACTAGATTCTTTAATTGGAATTCCAATAGAGCATTAGTATGGATAGTTTCATCATCGTCTTCAGCTGTTTGCTTCGAGGTTAGGTTGCGCCATAGTTGATATTTGGTCTAGGTTCTCAATCTCGATCATTGCTGGTCGTTGGTTATTTTATTTTCCATTCTAGCTTCTTCCTCTTTCCTTATTGAATTCTTCAATATATGATACTAGATTCGATATATTGCCGGTTTCTTTAGTGTGTAATTCAATACGGCTTAGGGCGTCTGCATTTGTATTGAGTTTACCCTTTTTATAAATAAATTTGATAATCAAACTCTTGTAGTTTGATTCGCCAACGTACTATTTTCGATGTGGGGTGTGAGACCCCAAGTTCAGAAACTTTTTATGATGTTAAGTTGGCGAGCGGTGGCTTAAGTTTCTGAGTGGAGACACAATTTGATGCGAGGGTCCTATTTGCGGGTGTGAGAGTAAAACACAGAAATATGGTGGTCAATTAAAATGTTTATATATATAAAAAAAAAACTTGGTAAACACAGGCGTCGGTGATAAATCTTACAATAAATTCTTCTCTAAATACCTAACCGTTTATTTTGTCAAAATTTCTCTATAAATTATTTAAGCAAAGTTTTTCCCCAAAATATATCTACAAAATGATTAAATTTCCCTAATATGTAACAAAAGTCTGAAGTTTAATTCACAGTTTGACTAGACCTTGCACTCTTGCCAAATTTACAACCCTGTACAATTTCTAGACAATACAATCCTAGCCTGACATAAAACTAATAAGATTACTTACAGATTGATTTGAGTTATATCTACTGATGGTACAAACTTAATTACCGGGGTTTCTATAGATCGATGGAATTTACTTTACTCATGAACATTTAAAAAAAACTGGAATATTTTCGCGCTGCCTTGTTATAGTCTTATTTCGCGGCGACTTTCTTCTCTTGTTCACTACCGTAGTTCGACGTAATTTCTGCCTTTGTTGTCTTCTATGTCACTGGATGCTCGACTCTTGAATTAAACTCTTTCTTGTTTAAAGCTTGACCATACACTGGACTTTCTGTATATCGTCTACTTGACTCTCTACCGAACACTGGTTCTTCTCAGTACAATCGCTCTCTACCGAACACTGGTTCCCTCCTGCAAAAGTCGCCTTTTATATCGTTGATCTCCCATTGTCTTGAAGCTCTTTGTTTTCTCTGGCCTCAATTTTAACGTGGTTGAATCATCCGATAAATTAGTGTATTTGGTCCCCTGTCAAGTAATTATCAAGGGCGTCGCTAAGTGGTTTGGTTAAGTGCGGTATCATCATATAGGCTCGTGCGTATGATTTATGGAGTCTTTAGGAATCTCGGATACGTTGAAATGTTAATTGCTGAAAGCACTTAAAAAAAAGGTTTATGAACTTTTTGCTTTTAGTGGCATTCCAATGTATTAGTCAATTGCTTTCGTTGGTCATCTCGGGAGGAAGGGTATTGACTTTCAATATATTTGTAGATTTCGATGTTCAGTTCATGGTCTTTCTTGGGTTGGTTGTTATTTCTTGATTGAAATTTCTGTAATCTCTACATGGGGTCTTTATAATTGAAAAGTCATTGCTTATAGTCCGTTATGATAATGAATTTTTGTCCGTAAAGGTAGGGTAGGAAGTACTTCATCGCCCAAATAAGACACAGGTACTCCTTTTTGATAGTGGAATAATTTTGTTCTGAATCATTCAAGGTGCGAGATGCGTAGGCTATGGGTAAATCTTGCCAAATGAGCCCTTGTGATAACACATGATAACACAGCATCACATGTTAGATTAAATTTCTTCAAAAAGTCTGGGTATTGTAGTATAGGTTCATTTACAAGTAATTATTTGCAATTTTCAAAACATTCGATAAATTCTTCACCTTTATTCAAGCATTTCGTGAGGGGTTTTGTGATGATTTTAGCAAAATTATCTATAAAACGTCTATAATATCCAAATAGTTCGAGAAAGCCTTTAATTTGTTTTCTGGTTTTTGGAATTGGGTAATGACTTTTTATTTTGTCTGGATTTGGTCGTACTCCTTCTTGTGTCACTATATGGCCTAAATATGCTATTTTTCGTCTGGGGAATTCACTTTTATCCAATTGAATTTTGAAATTGGTTTCCCGTAGTCTTTGGAAAACCACTTTGAGTCATTCTAAGTTGTCTTGTAGCGACGTGGAAAATATAATAATGTCGTCGAGGTATACAAGACATTTTTCATTCTGGATTCCTTCATGGTCCTTTGGAATGTTGCGGGGGAGTTCTTCAACCCAAAGGGCATACGCAGAAATTCGTAATGGCCATTTTCGTTATTAAATGCGGTTTTCTGTATGTTGTTCTCATTCATCAGTATTTGATGAAATTCGCTGGCCAAGTTCAATGTAGTAAAATATTGACATTTTCCTAATTTGTCCAATAGGTCGGTTATATTCGGTATGTTGTTATGGTTTCCGCATCAACGCCACGAAAATCTACTACTACTCTCCATTTCTGCTCTCCAGAAGCGTCCGCTTTCTTTGGGACCACCCAAATTGGCGATGACCAGGGAGGGTTGCTTGGGCGAATGATTTTTTGGTCCAACATTTTTTTAATCTGTGATTCGACTTCCTTTTTATGTATAAAAGGGTATCTATAGGTTTAAAAATACCGGTTGTTCATCAATGGTTTTATTTGAATGTCTTATTCCACTTATAAATGTCAGTGGCATGTTTTCTTGATAAAATATATCTGAGTATTCTTCACATAATTTGATGATTTTCGATTTTTCTTCTGCATTCAGATGATCGGTGCGAATTTCAGAACAGTCAATATTGGGTTTGCAAGTCCTCGAAATTATTTAGATTTATTTTTTCCAATTATTCTCGATTAAATGGTTCTACCTTAAATGGTTGTGAAATATCGAGGGTTATTGGTTTGCAAGTGTTATTCAAAATGCTAGTAAAAGCATAACCATCTTTTACGATACTCAGCGAATTTGGAATTTCGCAGTTATGTATCCTCTAGTAGGGTATAATAACCTCGCCGGCTGTATATCGGTTTTAATTTTCACAAGTTGCTCAACTCGAGGAGAAACAGTAACATTATATATTGATGTGTCAGTTTTAAGGAACTGCAACTTAATTCTTGCGTATGGGGTTACTAGAAATCCTGTATCAAAATTAATGTTAGCTTGTAAGTTTTTAAAATTTTCAAGCCCTAATAAACCATCGAATATGTTGTGAAATTTAAATAGGTAGAATTTTAGAGGTTCATTATTTGGCAAATTAAAGATTTTAGGTGCGGGTATTTGAGCACTGTAATGTGCCGATTGTTGACAAAAGGTGGAGACAATAAATGGGTCACTGAAAATGTGGAGGCATGCCATTAAATTTAGTGATGCTAATTCTAAACACTAAACAAAATAATTACTCAGGGTCCGCATGGAAAGCCTGGAATACCAGGATTGCCAGGAGCTGAAGGACTTCCAGGCTCATTAGGAAAACCCGGTAATCCTGGACTAAAAGGTGAAGTGGGCTTGCAGGGGCCTCAAGGAAATATTGGATTTCCTGGATCGAGAGGAATTAAAGGTAAATCGCTTTTCAAAAACTGCAAAAATATTTAAAATGCAAATGTTACAGGCGATGAAGGAAAACGAGGTGTAGCTGGAGAAAAAGGCGATAAGGGTGACAGAGGACTAGATGGTGAAAAGGGTGATATAGGCAATAAAGGTGACACAGGTCCGCAAGGACTTCAAGGAGCTGCTGGCCTAGAAGGCCCAGAAGGTCCTAAAGTAAGTTTTTCAATTTTTCTCCCTAGAACTTTCTTCTGTTTTGTATTTGCATCCAACACAAATTATTTTTTGAAATGTTTTCTTTTGTCTTATCTTGCTTTTCATTTATTTATGTTTTGCAAATTCTTCATCAGTGATTTTCTAAGGGCAGTTTCATAGATCGACTTGACAAGTGTTTATTTTAGGGTTTTGAAGGTCCAAGAGGTGAAACAGGCCAAATGGGCCAAACCGGAGAAAAAGGAAAAGAAGGCTACCGAGGTTTTCCCGGTTATCCTGGCGTTAGTGGTGACAAAGGAGAAAAAGGAGCTACTGGTAAACACGGCCCACCAGGAGAAAAAGGAGACAGAGTAAATGCATAAAAAATAAAATAAAACATTAATACAAAAGTACATCCGTAGGGTAATCCGGGCCAACCAGGCGAACGAGGCGAAACAGGTTCGAGAGGTTTCAGAGGTATGCGAGGCCGACGAGGTCAAATTGGACAAACTGGTCCTAAAGGTGACACTGGACAACCTGGCCCACCCGGTCCTCAAGGCGAAGTTGGTCCACCTGGAAACGAAGGAGTTCGTGGATTCGCTGGAGCTACTGGCCCTCCAGGCAATAATGGAAAAGATGGTGTTCCTGGACCTTCGGGGGAACGTGGACCACCGGTAAGAACAAATAATTGCATCTGAAAAGTATTACACAGTAAATTATCTATTAGAAACTGAAATTTGTCTTATTATTCGTCAGTTTTTCACTCCCACGACTAGCAAAACGAGAACATGTTTTTGAAATGCAATCAACTAATCTAACGTTTCAATTAAAATTGCCCTGTGGCTGGGAATCAGAAAAATCAATAATGAGGTTCCCTTTAATTATTAGGCTTTATAAAATAGAGCAACCCTTCATCAAATGTCAGGTTTTTTTCAGGACGCCGGCTCTATAAATAATATATTTGAACCCTGCAACAACCTCTCAGACTATTTTTTTCTTTAATTTAATTTACAACTCTTAGAGCCAGATATTATTTAGACCTGTTGCAGCTATCTAATGTCTTTAAAATTCAATGCATGTCATAGGGTCCTTGTTTTATCAAAATATGTCGGTATTTATATTATGTATCAGCTATGATGGCCATGAGGCTCGAAATAGGCCAGACATAAATACAGTAAAATTATGAAATTTGTTTTAAATGGATAATTTTTATTTAATGTTTACGGTGTCCATATTAAAATCGTTTTAAACAAAATCCATTAATCAATGACAAATCTCATGACCAATTTCTACAGGGTGAACAAGGTTCTCCAGGAACCATTGGTCTACCTGGAGTAATAGGTCCTCCGGGAAACACTGGTGAACCCGGACCGATAGGCGAGTCGGGCACTCCTGGACCAGTAGGAATTCCAGGCGAAGTAGGCCCTCCGGGAGATGCTGGCAAAGAAGGACCCACAGGACCGATGGGACCCGAAGGCAAAGCTGGACCACCTGGTCCGCCAGGATTACCCGGTTTTCCTGGTGAACGTGGCCATAATGGATTGACGGTAAAAAATTTTAATAAATCCTCTGTTCTATACAATTCAATCCCTCATGATTATTCTTGCATTAGGGTATGCCTGGTTTAAAAGGTGACGCCGGACCGGCAGGTCTTCAAGGACCTCAAGGCGACAAAGGAGCCCAAGGGGACGCCGGATTACAAGGCGCTCAAGGTCCTGAGGGAAGAAAAGGACCTCCAGGTAAACACCCGCAACTTGATTGAAAATCCTATTGATTTTTTTGATGTAATTTTTAGGTTCGCGAGGTCCTGGAGGAGCCAAAGGCGAACGAGGCGAAGCAGGCCCGCCAGGACCCGCAGGCCGCGACGGTTTGGCAGGAGTGAGAGGTCTACCTGGTGCTACAGGACCTGTCGGACCACCTGGAGAAGATGGCGATAAGGTATTTCGAATGATTTGGTTTCAATTTTTCAAATAAAATTTTTAGGGTGATGTTGGGCCACCAGGAGAAAAAGGTTTTAAAGGCGGAAAAGGAGATTCAGGCCCTGTAGGTAGTTCAGGACCTCCTGGTATACGTGGTGAACCAGGACACCAAGGTCCTGTAGGCGAAAGAGGAAATCCAGGTGAAATTGGCCGAAGAGGTCTTAAGGGCGAACAAGGACCTGCAGGATTAACTGGACCACCAGGTGAATTAATTTGTGTGTGAAATTAAATCAATTATGTTTGTATTTTTAGGGACCGCTGGTGCACAAGGACTTCCAGGACCACCAGGAGTTAAAGGAGAAATAGGTAAGTAGCTAAACCCTCATGAAAAAACTTGCTAATAATTTTTTGTTCTAGGTGATCTAGGGCAAAAAGGCCCACCAGGTGCTCCCGGAACACCTGGAGAGCAAGGAGCGAGGGGACCAAAAGGCGTTGAAGGTTTGCCAGGTCCTGTAGGACCTGAAGGACATCAAGGTAATCGCACCTTTATAATTATAGATTATTAATGGAGATAAAAACTGTTTTAGTTTATATTCCACTGAAAATACTTTTTAATAGTTTTTTTCTACTGACGTTTTATAATACGCCTAAAATCTATTTCATATTTTTCCTTTGAAAAATTTCCGGGATACTATTCAACCCAAATGGCAATCGGTTGAATTTATACCTATCAAAAGGGATGTTAAAAGTGCATAGCTCTGAACTTTGTTCATTCAACTGGATTTGCCAGACAGAATTCATACCTTCATATCAATCACAGAAAAAATGGTTGTACCATCAAGTTGACTCAAGATATCATCACATTTTGGTATCATAAAATATATTTATTCAGGGGTTTTGGATCAAGGCACAATCGGAGAGTTCCATTAGGTTTCTCGATAATCATCAAAGAATTTACCCATTCGATAGGGTACCTAGTCTATTTTTGTAATTATATTTTTTTTGTTCTCTATTACATGGAAATCTTATTGGTCGAAGGAATTTACTTTAGTTATGAACACTTAGTAAAAAACTCGAATATTTTCGCGCTGTTATTTCACGTCGTGCTTCTTCTCTCGGTTAATTCGACAATTCTTTCACGCCGTAATTCTGACTTTCTAGACACAGGTTTCTCGATTCTCGATTACTATTCGTTCCTTGATTACTCAACCGACACTGGTCTTTCACGCCGTAGTTCTGCCGGTTTACTTTTACTCGCTCTTTCTCGAACACTGGTTTTCTCGAACACTGATTTTCTCCTGCAAAAGTTGCCTTTTTATATCATTGGTCCCTCCATTGTCTTGAATTTCTTTATTGTTTCTGACCAAAATTTTTCGTGGTTGAATCATTCGATCAATTAGTGTATTTGGTCCCCTTTTAATTAATTATCAAGGGCTTCGCTAAGTGGTTTGTTAAGTGGGTATCATCATATAGGCTCGTGCATGTTTCATTGATCCTTTTAGAAATTTTTCGGCTCCTTCGGAATGTTAATTGTTGAAAGCACTTAAAAAAAAGGTCTTTAAACTTTTGCTTCATTCACATTCCAATGTATTAGTCAATAGGTATAGAGTATCGGCTTTCAATAATTTCTGGATATCGATGTTCAGATAATTTTTAATTGAAGTTTCTGGTTGTGCTGTCTAAGTGATGATCTCTCCTGGGATGGTTATTTAGTAAGTCCTTGTTATTCTTGATTAAAATTTCTGTAGTCACTACAATAGCTACTCTTACAATTGTTTTTTATGCATATATACGAAAGCACAATTGGCCGCTTGCTTTCTAAGTTCAGTTATGAACGAGTCAATATTTTGATCTTCCCTTTGCACAATGCTATTAAACTTGAATGTTTCCACAGTAACATTTTGTTTTGGCAAAAAATATGAGTCGAAACGAGATAGGACATTGTCCAACGTTTTTGTCGTGTATGATTGAAACGTGTTATAAATATCTAGACCACTTCCACCTATTATATGTAATAATAAAGCAATTTTTACATTTTCTTGGCTTTGGTCTTTTCCAGAAGCTAATAAAAATATTTGAAATCGTTGCTTCCATTTTGGCCATGCACTTGAATCCTCAATGTTGAAGGGGTTCGGGTGGCTAACAGTCAACCATTTTGATGTTAGATTAGATCCAACTTAATAGTTTCATTACTGGGAACACTGCACTTCACTTTATTATTTTGCTGATCTTTTTTTACACACCTGACACCATGTTTTACACAAACTACACTAAACTAGAAAGGCGATGTCGCCAACTTAAGTTATACAACAAAAACTCTGACATAATTGTTAAAAAACGAAATATGTAGTATACATTTTTTCATATTTTTAACTCATAAGGGCCAAAAGTGCCCTAAAACCGTACCAATTCTGAAAAAAAAAAATGGTTGGTATTATCATTGCCTTTTTCCAATCAGGTTTATTTTTTTAATTTTATTATTATGACTTTTTTCTATTTTCTCTAAACTATATACATGTATTATATTCCCTATAATAAACTTTGTAGTTGGTTGGGAAATAAATAAATAAATAAATAAATATAGGTCCAAAGGGTCAAGATGGACTAACAGGTATCGCAGGCCCACCAGGAAAAGATGGCACCCCGGGCAATACGGGCCCTCAAGGTCAAAAAGGCGACGATGGTAAAACCGGCCCGCAAGGATCGCCAGGTCCGAGAGGCCCAGGGGGTGTGGAAGGGCCTAAAGGTCCTCACGGTCCGCCAGGTATTCCTGGACCGCCAGGAGAAGCTGGATTGGCCGGATTGAAAGGAGAACCAGGATTAACTGGTGAAGACGGTAGAGAAGGTCCTGCAGGAACAGCAGGCGAAATAGGACCTCAAGGCCCTATGGGACCGGTTGGACCACCTGGAAGACCAGTAACTTAAGTCTAAAATTGGAGCATACGTTTTAATTGCACTTGTGAACTTTTTAGGGTCAAGAAGGAGCTGCTGGTTTGCAAGGTAGTGCAGGTTTACCAGGCGAGAAAGGAGACAAAGGGTTACCCGGTGGGCCTGGACTTCAAGGTGGTCCTGGATCTCAGGGAGAGCCGGGTCCCCAAGGGCCTGTAGGATTGCGTGGAGCGCCTGGAGCCGCAGTATGTACATATCTATTGTGTGAAAGGTTTTTACGTCATTTAACGATTTTAGGGAGAAAATGGAGCACCTGGTGCTCCTGGGTTGGTAGGACCTGTCGGAAAAGTGGGCGAACCTGGTCCAAGAGGTTTGAAAGGGGACAGAGGCAGACGCGGCCCTAAAGGACATCGTGGTGAAGTAGGCCTTAATGGTTTAAAGGGAGACGAAGGAGAACGAGGTGAAAGAGGTCTAAAAGGGGACAGAGGCCTAGAAGGACCAAAAGGCAATATTGTAAGTATTTTATTGAAGTCAATAAATATTTTAATTATTGAATCTGCTAGGGGCCTATTGGTCCGATAGGTTTAAAAGGAAACGACGGTCCACAAGGATCGCCAGGTGAAGAAGGGCCCCCGGGTCCTTTAGGACCAGAAGGACCGGCAGGTCAAAAAGGTGAAACGGGACCAGTGGGACCTGCAGGACCTCCTGGACCACCTGCCGACATGCCTCTGGTGCCTCCTGAGCTATTGTTCCAAATACAAGAGGCTGGAATGACTAAAGGGGTTACAAGAAGAAGGAGAAACGTTGACGATTTGATGTACGACTGCTAAATTTTTAGTTATTTTGTTTCAATTAAAATGTTTTAGAACCGAGTTTGAGGAGGAAGTCGAAAAGAAAAAATCAGAAACGAATGAAGAAAATCAAACGACAAATAAAGAAGACATTAACTTGAAATTTTTAGACATGTATTCGACTATTTATGCAATGAGGTTCGATTTGGAACGCGAACGGAAACCGTTGGGCGATCGTGAGAATCCTGCAAAGTCCTGCAGGGATTTGTATTTTGGACATCCACACTTTGAAGATGGTAATTAGTGTCCTGAATAGTCCGAATCAATTCTATTGACTTATTCTTTTATAGGCTGGTATTGGATTGATCCTAATTTAGGAATGACAGACGATGCGATTTATGTCTTCTGTAACATGTCAGCCGAAGGGGAAACTTGCGTCTATCCAGACGTTCAAAGTGCTAGCATGCCAAATATTCCTTGGAAGAAAAATGGAGAGAATATTTGGTTTTCGCAATTCCAAGATGGATCAAAGGTAATTTATTCTTATCATAAGTCCCAATGTTGTTGAGCCAATATGTTTAAAAGGCAATAAACGTCCAATACAAGGATCGGTCGGTCCTAAATAATCTAATTTAGCTGTAGCTGACCAAATGATGCTAGTCTTAAAAAAATACAAACGTGACACGAATGGAATGCGATAATGAACAGAGCCTAATTTTTTTTTTTATAAGAATACTGTGTCCCTAGGGATACATCAAATGTTTTTGATAATTTAAATCCCATGTGATAACAATGTTGTTATTTCCCGTATTTCAATTTTCATGAATATTTTAAAATATCCCGCTACATTTTATAAATCCTTTTTTACTATAGACAAGCTCTTAAAAGCTTAAAGTAGCTTTTAGTTTGGCCCGTTTTCGTCTAAAGCGCGTTGTGGTTATCATAAGGGAATTTCGTAAATTACTTTAGAATAAAAGTGTTTTTGTGTTATCCTTTTAGTTTTGAGGGAAAAAGCGCTTGAACACTTAAATTTTTTTGTTTTAGATTTCCTACGAAGGTGTTGGTCAAGTTCAAATGACCTTCTTACGTTTATCCTCACAGGAAGTTCATCAAAATTTCACATATTCCTGCTCAAATAGTGTCGCTTGGCTTAATTCTAATACGGACAAATACGATTCTGCGATCAAACTAATGGGAAGCAATGAACAAGAATTCTCTTCAAGCGGTTAGTAATTTTTTGTACAAAATCCCTTCAATATACGAAAAGAAAATTCTGTTTTAGGCATAAAGCCGAATGTCATTCTGGATGGATGTAAATCTAGACAAGGCAAATCCGAAACAATTTTCCAAATAAGGACGAAAAAACTACATCAACTTCCCCTAACCGATTTTTTTCCTGTCGACTATGGCAATTCCAATCAGGCTTTTGGGTTTAACGTTGGCCCCGTATGTTTCAAGTGAATCAAAATTGCCAATTTATGAAATGCATTTATAAATTTACAAGATGACGTAGTTCTCCTAGATTGGGATTTATATTTATTTTAAAACTTATTTAGTTAGGTACTATTTTAGCATTTTGTTAAATCTTTTTAATTTATTTTAGCACTCTTTTTATTATTGAAATGTGATATATTTTTAAGACACTGCCTTAGATAAGAATTATTATAATTAATATTGATAACGTTTTTTATTTGTATAAAAAGTCATTAATATATTTGATGCCAGTATCTGAAATTAAAAAAAAAAAACTTGTTTGTACTTAATTTATTGCAACACAACATTCAGTGCCAGGATATTTTGGTAAATCTAATTGATACTTTTCAGCTAATCCATGTGGCACGAATCTGCCCCCTAAATAATGATATCGTCCTTTGAAATTTAAAGCGCATTTTTTAGGGGCAGTCAGAGAAATTAACAATTCTGGTTTAATACCACCTTCAGTCGGTTCTCCGTTCTCTACGTCCCAACCGCTTGGAATATCAACACTGGAAAAAATATTTTCTAATAATATTAATGGGGTTTTGGAGTGTTAAGTATTACCTAGCAATAGGTAATGAAGTACTTTTCATCAAATTAATAACTGGAATAAAATCTGGTCTAACTGGAGGTTTAAAACTGAAACCGAAGAGAGCGTCAATGATTAAACCGTATTCAGTTTCAATTTTTGAAGTTTCTGGAAGTTTCTAGAAAAAAAAAAAAGATTTTTTTTAAAAACTTTTCGAGACGATTTCAATGTTCATTATTACCTGTAAAATTGGAATGTTCATTGATATGCATTGATGTGTAAGATTTTGATACAAAGGTTTGTCGGTTTGTTTTGGGTAATAAACCACTGGATTATATTCAAATAGTTTTAAATGTCTTGCACATACTAAACCGTCGCCTCCATTATTTCCTGTAATAAAGATTGTATAATTAATAGGTGCATTATTTGGTGGAGATCTTAAATCCAAGGCAGCTTATTTATTGAGCTATGAAATGGAAATTTTAAAATTTTTCAATTTTTCTGCTATTCTATTTTCAAAGATTTTGACTTCAAATCTCACACCATGCAGTTTGCTTGCACTCAGTCAAAATTAGGTATATAATTTACTGTAACGAAAGTGTAATTTATGTACATACTACATAACAGTATGGTTGGTTAATTTTTTAAAAAATCTTGAAGCCAGAAATTGAAAGAAAAAAAAGCAGATTATTTGAATTTTGCGCTACATTTCTCCACCAATCAAAAATTACTGATTGTCAAATTTCCATCTTCCAAACGAATCTTTTTTTTTCTTTTTGAACACATCGGACAAAAAAGGATGCATATATTTATCAAAATCGTTTTGCGTATCGACTGGTACAGCTCTACTTTTCACTTGAAACTTGAAAGAGGAGAACGACATCTATTAATTGAAGTATCGACTAGTATCGACAATTTTCTTTCCTTGTCTATAAATGCGAATTAAACAAAGAAATCGATATCTGTACTAATCCGGCACAGTATAAAGTACGAAAACGATTAAAGCGATTTTAGTTTACCATAGGTCAGTGACCCCTGGCAAACTGTGCCCTGGCTGGCCAATTTACCTCTATCATCACAAAATAAACAATAATTAACAACAAAAAACAGTAGGCTGGGGCAGTGTAATTTGAAGAAAAAAGAAAAATGATGTTTTTCCCTGGGAAAATTTGAAAAGGTCTTTAGGGAAACTGGAAGGTATGGAATACAGACACATAAAAATTATACTCGTGTTTTATTTCCCATAAACCACTAAGAAAAATAATACCTAATAATTTTTTTCTCCAAACGTCAGAAAAACGTCACTTTGTTAACTCCTGTCAAGATGTCAGAAATTTGATTTCTATGCTGCTATGCAAATCCAGCGGGTTAACACCTGTCGAGGTGGTAGAAATTTAATTTCTATGCTGCTAGGCAACCCCAGCGGCAGCAAAAGTACTTTTAGTGCCGCTGGAGCGGCAGTAGAAGTACTTTTAGTGCCGCTCGTACTTTTACTGCCGCTCAACCATTCACTTGCCCCCGAGCTTACCCCATTCGTTTGGAGAAAAAATAGCGTGTTGCATACAGAGTAGAAGCACTTTTTTGTGCTTCAGCAGTATTGCAAGCCTCACTACGTTCGGCTCGCAAACCTACCGCTTCAGCACAAAAAAGTAAAGCTTCTACTCCTAATACAACAATATACTATAATAGTTAGGTAGGTAATTATTGTTTATTTTGTTTGTGCGATGGAGGATAGAAGAGTTTGTAAAAACCGATTCCGGAAACTGGCCAGAAGTGAGCATAAAATCTGTTTTTTTTTTAAAGATAAAAGTCAAAATGACATTATATTGGCAATTGGCAATACAATGTAAAATTGTCAATGCTGCAAATTTTTTATGTAGAAAAGGCTTGTGTTGCCAACAAAAAAAACAGACTTTAGGTACTCGGTAGATAGGTATTAGTAAAATGCAGGTGGAGTAGAGCAACCTTCTACAAATAATGATTCCCTTATATGCTCATTAGGTAGAAACCTCTAAAATTTAGAAGCACACACTAGTAAATGAGTAACTAAAGTATTCAATTATGAACGACATAATGGCCTTATGCTCGGGTTTATTGTTTGTTTCTTGATGGTTTGTGTGCCTTCTCTGCCTTCTGTCTGTTTTGGAGAAGCTAATAATAAATAAATAAAAATAAATAATGAATAATCAATTGAAAAGTTGGATTAAGTTTTCCATAGGGATGAGAATCGATTCCATATACGATACTTACAAATCTGTGAATTCGATATATCGATTTAGTTGTCGCCCCCAGGAAAAGTTTACATGAAATTCTTGACATCTGGGCAACACTGAATAAAATTGACCAATCAGAAATTTGGTGCCGTGACGTCACGGCACCAAGAAATTTGAACTTCAAATCGAAATTTAGAGCCTTTGCAAGTCCGAAAAAAATCGGAAAAAAATACAGTTGAGCTTTATTTTGACTCCTCTTTCCAATAAGCAAATAAAAAAAAATTCATGCAAGAGGTCCATTGAAATTTTATTATACTCGGGTAAAAATAAGATAGCATTTGACCTAGACAAAAAAAATATAAAGCTGATTTTGGGTAGAGATCATGCCTAAGGGCTAAATTGCAACATAATAGAAGTCCTGGTTAATCCTCCTTCCGCAATCCCCTTTTTTCGCCCCCTAACCCCCACCTTTTTAATATTTTGATGATTTTCTCGAAAACTATGCACATTAAGGAAAAATGTCAAGAGAGCTTTTTTGAAGCTGACAAAATTTCCCTTGCAATGACGTATTGTGAGCCCATATTATGTGCCACGTTGTACGCACCAGTGGCGTATCAAATGAAGGGTTACTTTTGAAAAATATACTTTTTGCTATTTATTCTCAGTTTTTTTGATCTAAGCATAAGTTTTATCGAAGAAACATATTTTTCTCTGAAACGACCATTGAAAGGTAGTCTACTTGCGAATCTATAATATGCTTATCGCAATCACTTCAGCCAAAAAAAAAAATATTAGAAGTTTATCCGAGACTTCCCAGCTATTAGTTTGCCAAATGACAGGTGCGCCTAACCGCCTTGCGCGACGTTGAGTTGAGGTAGGTAGGTATTCGAAAACTGTACATGGAATTAGGCACTAGCTGACGTCACATACATGACCTCACTTCCGTTGAAGGGACAAACAAAGCGTTCAAGGCCGGAGACATAATGACAAATACAAGGTACAAGTGACAGATACAAAATACCAAAAAATCGAAATTTTGTATCTTGGCGTGACAAGTAAAGGCGATTTTCAGCCTGGAATGATTATTATTTGGTTATAACCAATGCATTTCCGCCGTCGCGGTTTTAACCAAAGTAGGGGAAGTTGTGATGTCACATATCAGCTGATTTGCTTTTGGTATTTACCACTTATAACCGATTATAACCCAGCTTTGGACTTGGGTTAATCTTTTGGTTACAGCTTTTTGATGTGATTGTTATTATTTTGGGAATTGGTATTGGTGTTTTGTGATTTTGCAGTTGTGTTGTGGCCTGGCACAATGTGAGAAGTATACACTCACTCACTCACAGCAACTCACCATGCTTAGATCGAGGTTTAGATCATCCCCAAAAAAAATCTGTTCGATGAACGAGACTATCGAGAGATTCCGCTCCATTTTTTGTACCTAAACAACAAACCATTGTTGAAACGAAAAAACAAATAGGAATAATAAACATAATCCTACACTGCTATAACCAAATCATTTCAGCGGTCAGTTCCTTGGGTTAAGATTCTTGAGTGGTGGGGGGCTGTGACTTCACACTTGGCTGTCAAAGTTGTCAACCAAAAGAATAACCACGGTATTTACCGATAAATAATCATTCCAGGCTGAAAATCGCCTTAATTGTATCTTGTATCCGTTTATTATGTGTTATATCATTGATACACGTGTTATTATATTTTTGTCTCTTGTCACTTGTAACTTGTATTTGTCATTGTGTCTTTAGTCTAAAGGATCAATCTATACACACAGGCGCTAACTTGTCACCAATGACATAACGTGACTTTCGATAGGGAGACAAACATGTCATTGAGGTTATGTGTGAGACGTACACTCGATTGATTTACGAATGCACATTTATACGAAAATATACAAAATTGAATAATCAGATAACAATTACGTAAAAACTCTACATGGGATTAAATTCATACTAAGAGGGAAGGTTAAAGGGGTTGTCAGGAATAGGATAACACCAGTGGCGTACACTCGATCTACCTACGAATGGAGACTCTTTGTTAAAGTTGTAATTTGTAATTTATTAGGTAGGTGCCTACTAAAATATAAAGCACTGAACCGACATCTCATTTTCTCTTTTTAATAGATATAGAACTAACTATAAGGTATAACAAAACTGTTGTGTCACTGAGAACGAGGCGATTTTCAGCCTGGAATGATTATTATTTGGTTATAACCAACGCATTTCCGCCGTCGCGGTTTTAACCAAAGTAGGGGAAGTTGTGACGTCACATATCAGCTGATTTGCTTTTGGTATTTACCACTTATAACCGATTATAACCCAGCTTATTTTTATTATTTTGGGAATTGGTATTGGTGTTTTGTGATTTTGAAGTTGTGTTGTGGCCTGGCACAATGGAAGAAGTATACACTCACTTACTCACTGCAACTCACCATGTTTAGATCGAGGTTTAGATCATCCCCAAAGAAAATCTGTTCGATAAACGAGACTAACGAGAGATTTTGCTCCATTTTGGGTACCTAAACAACAAACTGAACAAACCATTGTTGAAACGACAAAACAAATAAGAATAATAAACATAACCCTACACTTCTATAACCAAATCATTTCAGCGGTCAGTTCCTTGGGTTATGATTCTTGAGTGGTGGGGGCTATAACGTCACACTTGGCTGTCAAAGTTGTCAACCAAAAGAATAACCACGGTATTTACCGATAAATAATCATTCCAGGCTGAAAATCGCCTTATGTATAATGGACACTTGTCATAAGGCGATTTCGCCTCAGTTTGGTCTGTCAAACAGGTACCATTCAATTTCGGATGGGTGAATGATGCTGTCACAACAACTTTGGTAGGCCCTTTGGTCTGTCAGATGCTAGACCGCGGTTTAACTGGGTAGTGGAGGTTTGGTAGCTTTCTGTTTCTTTTTCTCTCATGTCCAAATAAACTGGTTTAACCATTCGCCTACCAAACAGCAGATGAAAATCTGGGGCGAAATCGCCTATAATCATTATACCTAATTGTCAGTTCTAAGTGACAATTATACCTAAGTAATTGTCAGTTCTAAGCAACCTTATTGTCAGCTGCAATTGACAATAATACCTAATTGTCAGTTTTATAAGTAACAATCGAGGTAACAATTATTATACCTAAAGTTTTTTTTTTTTAAAGATAATTCCCCAAGTCAAAAATTTAGTAACTATGTTGGCAACACAAGCCTTTTCTACATAAAAAATTTAAAAGCTTGACAATTTTACATTGCATTGCCAACAGAATGTCATTTTGACTTTTATCTTTAAAAAAAAAACAGATTTTAATTGTCAGTTCTACAGCAAAAATTATACCTAAAAATATCAATTCCAACTGACAAATATACAGGAATTAAAAAAAAATGAGAACAAAGTATGAGAGGTCCGTTCAGCGCTTTCGTGTACTAAAATAAAATGCTTCAAAAAAGTCATTACCAGGTCCGCAACAAATTAGAACCGATTTACCAGCAACTTCAGCTTTCGGAAAGCATTTAGTCACAGCGACAGCACAGCTGAGGCCAGCTAATTCCATTAGCTGATCCACAGAGTACTTGTATTCGTTGAACAGTTCCACATCGATGTTTATCGCTTCTTCTTGACCCAGAAATTTTACCATTTTTATAGGGATTGTGTGGAAGAGAGATTTATTGATTTTTAATAAGGGAAATTGCTACAAAAACAACAAAAAGTCTAGATAAAATTAGTCCCAAATAATCCTGTTATTATTGCTTACTTGAATGTTGTGGTAAAGCTTATCGAAAGTTTTTAGGATTCTCATCTCATTTCATGTTATTTATTATTGTTTTGATTTTGATGTCAAATTATTTTCAAGTTTCCCGGTCCAAATCAGCTGATTTGGTTCATAATAGCGCTATCTTTGTTTTTTCTCGCAAATAAAACAAGGATAAAAAATGCAATATTGCTGTTTGGCTAGGGGCTAGTGTTCGGGATTGTACTCTGGGTTTGGAGTAGAGTAGATTTTTGTCATATTACGTGAAATTGAGCTTTTTAGATTACACTTTGTTAACTCCTCTATTAATTATTCAAAAAGGGTCTAAAGAAGTTTAATGCAGAACCCAGCTTTTGATGTATTTTGTCTTTGTGAATTTGCTCCGAGTAAGTAAATGAACCCATTTAGAGTTATCGAACACACTCCTATGACGGTATAAGCAACAGCTGTGTAATTTTAATTTCCTGTTTTGTTTGTTTTCTGCTAATTCAGAATTTCTTATTTTTCTTTTAATTAGTTCTATTGAGTTTATATTGGTTTTATCAGCTGCAAAATTTGTATTTTCCTCATGTAAGTTATAATAAGATACTCCTGTAATTAAATGTATAGCAAGATTTTTTCTAGAGCCAGCAAATTAGCATATAATTGAGACCGCACCCTACATTTAGGTTCTCTACGAGGTTCTCTATCATTAAAGAAAGGACATTTTATGGAGATGGTAAGGGCAAAGAGACTACTTTATTTTGCTATTTTCTTATATTTGAAAACTTTTAAGTATTACCTAGGTACATCTTAGTTACATTAAAAACTAGGACTCTTTCACTAATTTCTGAAATGGGCATACATTAATGAATAAAACAACTAAAAATAGAGTTTTCTGCAAACTTACTTTTGAAAAACTACTAGAGTCCTCGTTGAGAAACTGAATAAAAAAGAAAAGTCAAGTCAACTTTCGTTTAGCAGAAATCAGCTATTAGAGAAAAAAATAGAAAAAGGCCTACAAAAAGCCTCCATAAGAACGAAAACACACAAATTTTCCTGTGGAAATGCTTTATTTCCATTTTCCGGACTTTAGAATAGCTGAAATCAGTTATGTGAAAAATTTTTTTTGTTTGCATTTTCAACATTTTTCTGAATATACAAACACAAAAATTTTGCTGCGGAAATAGTCTGTTTCCATTTTCCGGAAAAATTTATAAGACTTTAGAATAGTTGAAATCAATTACATGAAAAATTGATATTCCTATGCATTGGAAACATTTTTCTGAATGTAAAAGAGGAAAAATTTTCTCGCGAAAATTCATAGTGTCTATTTTCGAAGCCATTCAAAAAACTCCCCTTCCCGACCTTTGATAAAAATAAATGCGGAAAATGCACATTTTCCAGCAGAAAATTATATTTAAAATTGACGATTTGGTCCGCCTTTCGAAAATCAACTACTAAAATTCCCTACTATCAGTCACTATCAGCGCGCTTTGTTGTCAACTACACTTTTTCCAACAGTATTTTGGAAAATTTCAATAGTATTTTAGAATAGCCATTTGCTCGGCCATTTGTATTTAAGAAATCCCCATATGAATATTGGAATAAATAATTGTATTTAGGAAAGTATCATTTGTATTTTGGAATAACCACTTAAACTTGGGAATGATTCAAATGTAGTTTAGAAAAACTAATTTAATTTAAGAAAGCATCAGATAAATTTTTGAATTACCAATTTAATTTAGGAAACCGTCATTTGTATTTTAGATCAAACTATATGTATTTAAGAAAGTTTCAATTGTAGTTTAGAATAATTATGTAGTATGCAGCACAGGTATGCAGTATACCTTCATCTTTGTCAGGTGTCAAACTTGCTGTCCCTTTATTAGGTCTTTGTCTTCTACTACCTATATATACTTTATTTTTTTCCAAGATAGATTTTGACATTGTCAACTTTGAAACATAAACAATGCCGCTAATGCCACTTATTGGCCGCTATTGTAAAACTGATGAAAACCTGCAGAAACACCTCATTTTGCGACCTATGATGAAGTGACATTTATTTTAAAATTGCTTTTCAAATAAGCGCGGGAAAAAATAAAAACGATTTTACAAAATTTCGGTTTTTTCCGAATATCTCCGGAAATATTCGGAATCTTTCTAGTTTCAAAACGGCATTCTATTGGTCATGAAATTGCGCAACTTTGCCATAATTTAACCGACTCCGTATCTCTTACGGTTACCGAGATCCCAATGATGAGGCTCGAATTTGGGCCACCCTGTACTTACTGAATATTTGTAATATATTTATTTCTAAAATGTTGGCACAATACCAAGAAAAATACTTAGTTAAATTAATCACTTAAGGATTCTAGAGTTCATTCCGTAATTTTCGGGGATAATACCACGAGAGCTTCAAAATTACCGATAATTTTTCACAATTGCGTGTTTTCTATAATTTCACGAGTCCGTAGGACGAGTGAAATTTGCAGAGAAAACACGCATGAGTGAAAAATTATCTGGTTCATTTTAAAGCTCAAATGGTATTTAGAGGATTATTTCACGTATGAGAATGCAAAAAATATGGAAATAAATATGTATTAAACGATTTGAACATCTTAACAATCAATACAAATAAATGCTTGCTATCAGGAACCGTTTGTTTGTATCAAAAATTAGCATGACAACCATGTATACAATAACATGGGAGAATTATCGCTGTAATTCTCTCTAGTTAAACAAATGGAAAAGAGAATTTTCGCTGTAATTCTGAAAATCGTCACTTATCTTATGGGATTTCTAACACATGAGTGGAATAATCGAGGTAATTTTCGAATTATTATCCATATCATACACAATTTAAGTTTATTTTTTATAATCAGTTTTAATTTTTTTTCTCACATTGCCTTACATTTAGTCACAACTGGCAACAGCGCATATAGTCTTCTTAAATTGATTGGTAGGAGATGCTTATATCTCCTATACGTCATAGAATGGTGGGTTTTAAATTTTTCCACTTTTAGAAAACTCATTTAAGCTTGTAGATCATTTTTTCTTTTTGTCTCAAACTTGCAGCAACAACGCGCCCTCACTGACCAACTCCGTCGCGAGGCAGCAATGAAACGAATGCCCATATCGCAAGCGGTCAAAGACATAATCAAGTACATACAGGAGCATGAACAAGACGATTGCCTCTTAGTGGGATTTTCCAGTCAACGTGTGAATCCCTTTCGTGAAAAGACCCCTTGTTCAGTGCTGTAAATGTCTGACAGGGGGTAATTAGGCTAGTACCATTTTTTGTTGTTGTTGACAGAGTAAAGTTTCCATTTAAAATTTGTCGAATCTCCCATATAATTTGGTGGTACTAGCGGGAAGTAACTTCAAAATATTCCATTTAATAATTTTCGGGGTCTAAAAGTAACTGCCAATAATTAACTGTAGATGAAAATATCACAATTGCCAAAGTATTTTAATACGGAATAAGGGAAAATCTTGAACTCTTGCCCTTCAATTTATTTAAATAAATAGACCAGTCAATGATGAAAACTCAATTTATAATATTATCTCCATTGTTGCTGTTTTGACGATTTTACTAAAAATTGTCACTAGATTTATTTTCTGGAATGGCTGGTCTATATACCTAATTTCATTCATTAAAAAATATCTATCTATATTATAAATGTTAATAGTCTGGAAAATGTGTCTTAATAAATTAATTGTCCCTAAGATTTTTGATTTTTTTTTTCAAGCATCTTTTATCAAGAACTTAACCTAAGAATTATGCCTGTCTGTTCCTAGTGCAATTCCGAATGTGTTTTCACAGACGTTACTGAAAGCAGGGACATTAAGGACCTCTTTGGAGGCCCATGTGACTTGTGCAAAATAATTTTGTGCTGAGACTGCTTGGGTGTATCTGGCAGCGAAATAAGAACCTTGACTGCTCAGAAGAGGAATATCTACTTCCATTGCTCAGAATGCATTGAAATAATAACAAGTCGTATAGGGAATATACCTGAAATAAAGCAGCAGATCAGCGACCTGCGTGCTTAAACAAATAAGCTCAAACAGAAAGTTAACTCTAACGCACCAACATATGCTCAAGTGGCCGCAAACACAAAACATTTGCAAGAACAGGTTAACAAACTTAATGAGGCAGCAAAAAATCCAAAACTATCCCCTGCTATTGAAACACATCACATCAGCAAATAGAACCAACTTTTCTAGAACTAAGAGACAGAGAGCGGAGATATTTTAATATCTTGATCTTTGGGGCAAAAGAGGATAACCAGAATGCCGAACATGATGTCCAAAGAGCCAAAGCCTAAAAACGAATGAAGAAAAAACCACAACCAAAGTTTTGATTTGAGTTAATTTGATAGCCCAGATAGTCAAAAAGGTGAATACTCGGAATACCCTAATTTACCTCATTCCGAGATCATTTCAGCGCGATGATCCTGAAGCTGTATAAGACATATGTAAAACCTAAACTGGAGCCTCTACTACATCAAGGATATAGAAATCCTTGAAAGAGTGCAAAGAAGAATTACCAAAATCCCTCCAGAGCTCCGAGACCTCCCATACGAAACCAGGCTCAATAGGCTGCATTTGAGAGAGAAGGCTGAGAGGTGACCTTATTGAAACCTTTAAAATCACGTAACCTGGATATGTTTCGTGATCTCCAGCTATGATGCTGTTGTCAGCCAGAAATGACATAAGGCGAGACTTTACGAGACTTTCAATAAGTTTGGAGAGCGTTGACAATAGAGAAATGGGTCTGTAGTTAGATGGAGCTGCGTGATCGCCGCCCTTGTAAAGAGGGAGGACTTTGGCAATTTTGAAGGATGATGGAAAAGTGCCTGTCATAAAAGATAAATTCATAACATCAGATAATGTGGCAATGGCGTTATTGGGAAGACTCTCTAGAATTTTTAATGAGATACCGTCGTCAGTGGCGGCTTTTCTATTTTTCATGGAATTGATTGTTTTTAGAATTTCGCGAGGAGTAGTGGGACGAAACGCATGGAAGTGTTCGGTAATGTTGATGTTTGACAGGTATGAGAGTGGGTCTATATTGGATGGTAAATCTTTGGTTAAATTAAGAGCAACTGAGCAGTAATATTGATTTAGAATATTGCTGTCGATGTTTACTTGAGATGAATTATTTGCCCTATTAGTTATTTCGTTAACGATGATCCATGACTCTTTTTGTTTATTGTTAGATTTAGACAGGTGTTTAGAGTAAAATAACTCTTTGGCTTTACGAATGACCTTCCTATAAGTTTTTTTATAAAAAAGATAGTAGGATTGTAAGAAGGCATTATTAGAGTACGCTTTCCTAAGGCTGTTAAGGAATCTAAGATTAGAGGCAGAAGTGCGGATTCCAAGTGTCAGCCATTTTCTTCGATCTTTGCGCTTTGGTTTTAAGCGGCGAAGAGGAAAAGCTTTGCCGACCAGGTTGGCAAGAGCATTATGGAAAGCACTTAAAGGATCAGGATCTCCGAAAACGGAGTCCCAGTTAAAAGACCCACAAGACAGTCGAAATTTCTGAAAGTTGCCACTACTGTAAATTCGTCCTAGTTTTGCTGTATTATTACTGTTATCGTAGTTGAAGGGGAAGGTAGCTAAAATAGCTCGATGATCAGAAAGGTCAGGATCAAGCACGGAACAAGACACGCCCTCATTTATATTCGAGGCAATGTAGTCAATTGTAGTGGATGAGGTTTCAGTGATGCGCGTAGACTCCCGAACGTGCATGTTAAGATTGAAGGACTCGAACAAGTTTAACAGATTGATGGTTGATCTGTTATCAGTGTCCTCAAAATCTATGTTAAGGTCACCAGCAAGTATCACTGTGCTAATTGTAGGAAATTTAGACAATAAAAATTCAAGTCTTTCAAGAAAGACGTTTAAGTTGCAATTTGGAGATCTATAAATACAAATAATGAAACATTTTAGCTTTTTGGAGTGAATAATGGAAAACTCAAACTGCATTTCAACCAGCAAATCATCATAATCATTAAAATTACGAAAACTATTAAAAATATAATCATCCACCAAGGCAACAGTACCGCCATGCAAGGAGTGCTCTCTACAAAACCTAGAAATAATAGTATATCCGGAACATGTAATGGTTCATCCGGCTTAAGCCAGTGTTCCGTCAATAAAACAATGTTAGGGAATTTCAATTCCTCTAGAAAAATAAATAAATTATCAGCTTTGTTACGAACTGATTGAATATTTAGAAGCAACAAAGATATGCCTGTGTCAGATTTCCTTACTCTAAAAAAGATTCTTGTTCGGTACAAGGCAGCTTTCGACTGATTTCGGAAGTTGAGTGTTCGGCAACACAATATTTTATGGTAGAAAGGGTAAAAACGTGTTTTAAACTAGTGCTGTTCTTTACATATAAAAATAAATTTCTTAAAAAAGAAAGCCTTGATAGTCGAAATCTGCCATTTACTTTATTATTATCTAAAATTCTAATGGATACATTATGGTTTTTAAGAAAATTTTGACAAAAGGAAACAAAACCTACATACTTATTGTATTCAGAATTTGAATATGACACAGAAAAAACCAAGTTTGTATATTTACCAATGGCACATAATTTTTTGAGATAAAATGAAGAAAGAAATTTAATAGAACTCAGTTTTAAGGCTACAATAACATTATCCGCACTTGTGTATCCTATTGTCAATTGGAACAGTTTGTCAGCCATCTGCGAGGTAGTAATAGCAGGGTGACATTCTCCATAAATTGAGTAAGCACTAGTCAAGTTAAGTAGACCATTAACCACGCCTCGTGAACTCTCGTCTCCAAAAACCAAGATGTTGCTCTTACTTATGGGACAGGCTGAAACCGGTGTAGATGGAGGTGTAGACATAGGCGTTATAGAGCCACCGGTACTTGCTATTTGCTGATGCCGATCTATAGCTGATAGTTCATTGGTAAGTTGCTGCCAAGAAATTTCCTGCCCAACAGAATTGTATATACCTGGAATAAGCTAGCGGAGGACACTGTTAATGCAACCTCACTGAACCAGTTTAAGAACAGACTAGATGCTTGGCATGAAACAATGGTCAAATCATCTTGTGCATTATATGTGATACCACTGTGATAGAAGATTGACTATAACAAATAATATTTATAAAAAAAAACGAAGATTAATATTTAAGAAAACGGAACTGTAATTAAATCAATAGTCTCATTGGGTTTCTACACGCTTACTATTATAAATTGAATAATATTAAGTAAGTCCCTTTGAAGCTTAGTTTCTCTGTCCATTCAAACAACTGACTCCGATTTATAGAGAAATTAATTCTCTTTCAGAAAATCTATAATACAAGTTGATTGGATGAAAATTATGGAAACTCTGAGCAAATTTGTGAAGCCATGTCGGGACATAATTCTTCACTGGGAATTAAAACTCTCATTTTTAATAATAATAATTTTTATTTATTTGCGATAACAATTTTATTTTTATTTCTCACGGATAGAGCTTAATTCTGTAGTAAAATTATTAAAATATATAAATTCAGTGATCCGTTAAAAATATGTATTTTTTTCAATCGGCATCACCTCATAAATGAATAAAATTAAAAATATTATTTATTAATAATACAGTAAAAGCAACCATGTTTCAACATAAACTAACAATATAAAATTATTATTATAAGTTTATTAAAACTATATCAAACTAATTACTAAATACTTCCCAACGTAGTTTTATATAATAGCGAAATTTGTAGTCACATTTCTATGCAATGAGGTACCTTAAACAATTCCTTTTTTTTAAAGGGTATTATAATACCCTATTTCAGCTCAGTGAAAATATAGTAATTTGTTTTGAATCTACCTAATAATTTTTTTCTCTAAAAACTATAGCATTCATAATAGCATTTCTTTACAATTAAAAAGGAATGTAACAATTTTATACCTATAAACTATTAAAGATACATATTAGGTATGTCAAATATTTTGATTTATAGTAGGTAAATTTTACCTAATGGAATTATAACAAAAAATAATTAATTTACACCATTTAAAATTTCAATAAATTTGAACAAACGTCAAAAAGTGCAGTGATAGATAATCTGTTCTACTAGGATTTGTGCACTTACAGTTAACTTTTTGACAACCCTGTAAGCATAAGTAAAGTTTTTAGGTCTCACGTAATTTTATACAGGGTGACAGCAACTGAGCAAAATTAAATATTTATCAGCATTGAGCAGCTTCAAGCCTAAACATCTTTTTTTTTTCAAATTTTTATCACATTTAATTGGCAATAATAATAATTGGCCGCACACCCTGTACATTTTACATATTTATATCTAATAGAGCTATAACATCGAAAGACAATTTTTAGAAGCTAAGAATTTTTTTTACATTGTAAATTATATTAGGTCGGGACATAATGTTGATATTTTTTTTTGTTTTTAGGTACAGGAGTAGTCAAAAAAATTACCCTTGTACCTAAAATTTAGATATTTTTGCTAAGCTAGCGACTAAAAAGGTTTCATACCCTTTATACAAAAGAATTCTGGCGGCGGCGACCATTTAGGAATATTATAAAAAGATGATAATATTTAGGGATTGAAGTGAATCTTTCAATCTTTCATTATTTATCTATTATTATTATGGTTTTTAATTTTGGCAATAGGCTAAATGGTAGCCTCCGCTAGATCTGAACCAAAAATGATATTTTGTACAGGGTCGGACCGATTGTTCATCTATTTGCTCTAAACTTAAATACGTTTTATAAGAATATTGGGATAAATTTCATTTTGGCCCCCCCAATCCTAAGTTATTTCCTGAGATAAAAAAATTCTTCCTTCCTTTGAAAGGCCAACCCTGTACAAATTAAAACGACATCGCATTCGCACCACTCTCACAATTTGAAACTTAACATGTCCATTTGTTTTAGAAAATAGGGCACTATGTTCTAGTAACACCATCTTTTACGTTGGCACACACTTTGAATTGAGTTAGCACTAGGTTAGTTAATTTTTTTTTTAGTTTTTTTTTTTAGTAAAATCAAATATTGCATCTTATCACCTGTGTGTGGAATAATACTATACTTATCGAGTAATTTTGGGTTTTTGAGGGGATATTTAGATTGCTTATGTTGGGGCACCTGGCTGGAAGTACCTTAAACCATTGATCTGGAAATGAATATTTGAGTCAACAAAAACATGTAATCATTAAATTCCTCATAACTAATTGTAGGAAGTTTTTTGGAGACAAAATATACAATCAAAAAACTATTTTTATTTGGATAGTTTTACTAGTTTTATTTTAAATAGAATCTTTTATGAAAGATTGAAGCAATTACAAATCTAGATTCTTGAATACTTACAGTCATATCATATTCGGTGATAAAAGCTGGTATTTCTAATTGGTGAGGTGACATTACCGAATAAAGGTATTCGACGCCTGGCAGATTATGGACTTTTTGCTTGATTGCCGGCGCCATAAAGGTTGTGAACCACCAAGTCATCATCTGAAAATAAAATAATCCAGTTTACTATTTTAATGAGAATCGAAGCGAATAACTAAGGGAATGGTATTTACTATATAAAGCAGTTCGCCAATGATCGTGAATTTTCCGCAATAATTATTACAAAAATATTCCTAAACAGCTTCCGGCAGACAATTTGAATGGATTGTGAGAAGTAGCAAAAATAGTTAAGATGAGTTTACTGTTGTACTGATAGATTGTTGTCGAAATTTGAACTCAAAAATTGATTTCACACAACTAATATTAAGAAATCTAAAATCTGATTGTTTTTACCTAAGTCTATAAACGGGGGTGTGACCCTAAAAAACGACTTAAGCTACCTAAATCAAGAAAAAAATTCTAATATCTCTCGTGAAAACCGCAGTCCTATATTCCAAATAGTTTTCGAGAAAATTCCTTGTGAAAATAAATTATGCAGGAGCTTGTGATGTCACAACCGCCGAAATTGCAGTCTTCTGTTCGTTCAGTCGTCAGTGAACGGTACCCTATACTTGTTGTTGCACTTGGCTCTGGGAGATAGATAATTGTCTGTTGTTTTGGAAAATTCGTACACATAATCCGGTGTGACGTCACAAACGCCCAGTTATAACTTTTAACCGCCCTAACTCGAAAACGAAACATCGTAGCAAAATGCGGTTTAAATATTTATTCTTAGATTTTTTTGCACTAAAACTTTCATTTTTGGGTCACACCCCCTTTAACGCGATTTTATCTCAGAAACTATAAGTGCAAATGAGCTGAAATTTTCAGAGATCGTAGTCCCTTGATGTCGAGATTTTGTATCGTAATGGTCAATTACCATCCCCTAAACTCCATACGCTAAATTATTCCCAGATTTGAAGCCGAAATCTATGAAAAAAGGCACTCAGAAAAATTGATAAATCACCCCAAATTGCTTAACACGATTTTATCTCAGGAACTATAAGTGCAAATGAGCTGAAATTTTCAGGGATTAGTCCCTTGATTGGGATAAAATTCAGTGAAAGTTTCAGCTTTCTATCTATAATAGAAAAAAAGTTATGACCTTTCAAAGTTTTCCAAAATCTAAATCATAAGTAGTGATGGTAAATTTCCAGGAATTTATTTTTTTGGGAATATTTTCAAGGAATATTCCCAAGAATGTTTCCAAAATGGGAATTTTCGGGGAATTTTCTGCTTTAAGTGAAAACCCCTATTTATATGAGTAGAGTTTCAGAGTAATTGTGAAATGTGCAATAAAACAACTATTTGTTGATAAGTCAACAGCTTTATCTATTCCAAAGCTGAAAAAAATTAAACAAATTTGCATAACCTTAATTTAGGTCACTTCTTGGTTCCTTATATCAATGGTGAGGGTTATTTAATGCAATTTTAAGCTTGGATAACGCAAAAGCAGCTGAACCAAATATCAACATATGGTATATACGGAATCAGAAGAAAACAAAAAATCAATTTAGCCAAAAAGATACAGGGTGTTTTGCAAGTATGCAAAAGATATTAGAGATAAAACCCTACAACTTTTGTATTCAACTTTTTTTTCTTAAGTTGTAGAAGCCGCACTAATTATAAGCAACAAACCCTGTACATGAATGTTATCGTCGAGGTTATCGTCATTGAGTCATTCTGTTCAGATCCAGAATAATCACCACTCAAGCTCTCAATTTCTTGTCGTTTGTTGTTTACACCCAGGGGCGGACCCATGGGGGGGGGGCAACGCCCCCCCCAATGTCCAGTCCAGTTGGTAAAAAAAATGTCTAGTTGGTAAGAGAAAAGGGCAGACTTAATACTTCTAAAAATGACTTAAACACGTTCTAAAGAATGGGATTTTCTAAAGTTTTAGATACCTGGTATGGTGCTTTTTGTCGCCTCAAATACTGGCAAGTACACTTGGCCAAACATAAAACTGATACAGGCAATATATATATCTTTTAAATTTGCTTAGTGTAAGTCAGGCTTAACAATAAAAAGTCTCACCTGAAAAACTTAAGTCAGACAGTTCTTGTCAATGTCAAAGCTGAACAAAAGTGAATGCAACATGTTTTTATGTTATAGTCCAGGAGGTGGCGTCGAAAACATGCAAGAGTTTTCTCAAAGCTGATATTTTCAAAATATGTCGTACTTTAGTCATAAAAGGCTAGAGTACAGTCAGCACTTACAGTTCCGGGACAGCTGGCGTTAGGACGCGCGCAAAGTTGTTATTTTAAGATGTATCTAACTGTTTCCTCAAATCTCAAAATTAATAGAAATTTTGCACTATATCTGTTTGAAGATCACAGATAACGTGTGTAAATTGTCAGACGTCTAGGTCGCTGCGAAAAGGGGGTCAGACGCCCTCAAAGTTTTCATTTTATAGCATTTTCTTCGGTGTCCTGTCAAAATATATTTTTGCAGGTATTTGACAAATATATTTGAAGAAAATCCCATAAAATAAAAACTTCGAGTGCTGCTGACACCCTTTTCGCAGCGACCTAGACGTCTGACGATTTACATACGTTATCTGTGATCTTCAAACAGATAATGTGCAATTTTTCTATAAATTTTGAGCTTTGAGAAAACAGTTTAGATGCTTCTTAAAATTACAACTTTGCCCGCGTCACAGGGCCAGCTGTCCCGGAACTGTGAGTGCTGACTGTAATACACTAGCCTTCCAACACTAAATTACGACCTATTTTGAAAATATCAGCCTTGAGAAAACTCTTGCATGTTTTTGACGCCAGCTCCCCAACTATTATGGTTGGTTTAAATGTGTCACACTTGACTCTTTTTGTCATTGTTGAGGTGATGAAAAAGGTCGATTTACACAATATAACACAATAGGAAAATGCGTACCAATTTTATGATTGGCTAAGTGTATAGGTATCAAATTTTCTCCAAAAATTTTGAGATAGACTGTATGTACCATCGTCACCAAAAGTAACTGGGACAGCATCACATTAGCTCTTGTCCTATTATATAAATTTCATTGTCAAATATTTGTCAAACTATAATTTAAATGCATTGAAATGAATGACAGTAGAATTAGTCCAGGAGATTATTATGCATTATTTGTGTCCCAGATACTTTTGGTGACGATGGTACATGATGGCAACTGATTTTGTTTAATTAAAAAATCCGAACCTTGGGTCTGCACAGGAATTCGATAACAGCACGGTACAAAAGATGTATGACGTATTATTATGACCAAGTCATGGAGTAGATAAAAAAATAAGTAAACAAACAATATTACAGTGGTCCATTCTTATTGAAAAAAGTTGAAGAATTGGGCTTGATGGGTATAAAAAAAAAAGAATAATAACTTTCAGAATGCTAGAAATATTCAATGGAGCTTAGGTCGGGCGACTGAGCAGGCCAGGGTAACAAGATTTCTTTCTTATTCTTCTTCTTCTTCTTAAAGTGACATAAAGATTCCTGCGTAGGCGTCCATTGATTTTTCTATCAAATATTTCTATTAAATTCGGTGGTTTATAGTATCTTTAAGCCCCGTATTCCTGTCCACTACCGCACATTCCGTAACCAGGATAGCTTCCACCCCCTTCCTCTTTCAGGGATACGGCGCAATACCGTTCTCCGCGTAATATGTGTCCAAGATATTTTCCTGCGTTTTAAGGTTTCGAAGAGTTCCGGTTCTAGCAGTTCAGCCTTTCGGATGACCTCTTCATTTGTGATTTGGTCGGCCCATGGTATTCTAAGCATCCGTATCAAGGTCCACATTCCGAAAGCTTCGATTTTGTTTATGGTGGTTAGGTTCAATGTCCATGTCTGCTCAGTATAGGAAGACCGACCAGACATAACACTTTATCATTGTATATCTGAGTTTAAAGCTCAAGTTTCTAACTATAAGAAATTTTTGAAGTCTTAGGAAGGCCTGTTCTATCCTGCATCTTATCTCTTTCTTCGGATCCCATCTTTCATTCAGCATGCATCACAAATATTTAAAGTCTGTAACAACCTGTTCAATATTTTTTCCATCTATATCTATTTGGGTATTCAAGATATTATCTCTACTCAGAGCTACTCAACTTCGTTTTGCCAGTGTTAATTTTCAAGCTCAATGCCTTGCCTGCTCTGTCAATCTGATTCAATAATGTCTGAAGATCTTCTGCATTTACTGCTAATATTGCGATGTCGTCTGCATATCTGATATTGTTGATGGAATTTTATTAACTTCAATGCCGAAAGTGGTTCAAACGCTCTTTCTGCATATAGATTGAACAACATTGAACACAAGATACATCCTTATCTGACACCTTTGTTTTATTTCAAATTGGTCTGTTATTGTTGCGTTGCCTAACCGATTTTTGATTCCAGACTACTAATAAATCCGTCTTTATCATCCAGTCCTAATTCCTCGAATCGAGACATGATATCGAGAGATTATGTCTAACATTGTCAAATGCTTTCTCGTAGTCAATAATACATATAAAGTTATCCTTTCTTTGATCTTGACAATAATCCTTGCATGCTTTGGGGTTATTTGATATTGGTAGTATGATAAAAGTAAAGCGGACCCAAACCTCGGAAAAATTTCCAGTGTCATACATGTTGTTAAAGAGATGCACTATGTGTTCGTTGATTAAGTGAAACATCTCTGAATACATATTATCAGGCCCCGGAGCCTTGTTGCTTTTCATTCGTTCCATGGCATATAGGACTTGGATTTATAATATTTTTAGTCCCGATACCTGGGTATCTTTCACTTTGACTTGTGGACTCTCTGGTCTGTTGTCATAAAAAAGGTTGGTAGAATATCTCTTCCACGTTCCCAATAATTCTTCGGGGTCTGTGATTACCTTGTTGTGCTCATCTCTAATGAAATTTACTGCCTTTTTGTTGTATTGTCTAGCTATCTATTTTACTTTCGTATGTAGATTGAAGCTGTCTCCAAGATGGTTCAGATTTTCGGCCTCTGTGCATCTTATTCTATAAAAGTTGATGAATTACCCACAAATAAATTACCTATACTCCATACACTAAATTATTCTCAGATTTGAAGCCGAAATCTATGAAAAAAGGCACTCAGAAAAATTGAAAAATTGATAAATCACCCCAAATTGCTTAACACGATTTTATCTCAGGAACTATAAGTGCAAATGAGCTGAAATTTTCAGGGATTGTAGTCACTTGATTGGGATAAAATTCAGTGAAAGTTTCAGCTTTCTATCTATAATAGAAAAAAAGTTATGTCCTTTCAAAGTTTTTCAAAATCTAAATATAAGGTAGGTACCTTCTTACTAAAACGATGAAATTTCAATTTTTTTTTTTGTCGAGATTTTGTATTCTAATGGTCAATCAACATCCCCCAAACTCCATAGACTAAATTATTCTCAGATTTGAAGCCGAAATCTATGAAAAAAGACACTCAGAAAAATTGATAAATCACCCCAAATTACTTAACACGATTTTATCTCAGGAACTATAAATGCAAATGAGTTGAAATTTTCAGGGATCGTAGTCCCTTTATTGAGATAAAATTCAGTGAAAGTTTCAGCTTTCTACCTATATTAGAAAAAAAGTTAGGACCTTCCAAAGTTTTCGAAAATCTAAATCATAAGGTAGGTACATACCATTTAGAAAACTTATTGTTATTCTGTAGGGTACCGATTGAGTAAATAAATAAAAATAAAGTAAATAGTGTCAGAGTGTGTAGTAACGTGAAATAAATTATTGTTGTGGTAATTGGACTTTGATTTTGGAATAAACGAACCCAAAATTTCTGTTACGCACCCCAGATCCCTGACAATATAAACCAGTCAGATTGATATTCATTGTGTAATGATCAATGCTGGTTTGTATGATCACAAAGAAGGAATAGGACTTGTGTGTTAAGTTTAAAGACCATACCTCAGATACTTAAACATTATCCTACTTAGACAGTTTGTGGGTTTTATTTGTGTTTTTTATTTGTTATTGTATTCATTTATGTCAAGTCCTGGACAATATTTCGACTCAAAATCAAATCAACATAGAAAAATGCAAAGATTTTTTTTTTTTGTGTGTGAAGGTTAAAAGCATACACACCAATTATTATTCAAATATGTCCAAAATTATTCCTTAATTATTGTATATCTATTTTTAATATATTTTTTTTTTATGTTCTCGTGGTTCTTGCTGCCAAATATACCAGTTGAATATCTAACCATTTGAATATATTAACATGAATAATTAAAATTGCATACAAATATAAAATTAGTCATAATTATTGTAAAATTTACCTTTGTCCAGAAAGTCGGATGAACTACATAAAAGGCCTTCAAATTTTTCTTGTACTTGTAGGGCAAGACGTTGTAGACTTCTCTCAGCCAGGAGAAAGAAGGATAGTTGCTATTTGATGTCAATGTATGAAAATAGGCGATTACGTAGTCGCCTCTCACTATTGGGTCGAGGAGATTGATTAGGTACAGTAAGGCCTAGAAAAAGTAAACAATATTAACGATGCAAAATTAATTAGCGAGATGCAATATCTGACACCACTATTGTGACGATTTTTTAAGTCTAACAATCCTAATTAATTGCCTGATAATAAGATCACTCAAGGACAATTTGTATATTCTTAGCAAATAGTTATTTTATACCTTATCAAGATTGATTTTGTTGAACGGAAACCATTTTCCCACGAAAACTACAACAGGTCGGCCTAATCTGTCCACACCGCTCTGATACAAACAGCCAATGCCAGACACTTCGGTCAAATCTTCAGTTTTGGATCTTCTTAAGAGTTTTTCGTATCTGAAACAAACAATAATGTATTTGTAATTTAGGATTACTTAATACATATTTATATTTGAAATGAATCCAATTTTCTCTATAGTTTCAAATAATTTATTTACATTATATACATACATTAAAGGTAATACATAATTAAATATTAGCGCAGGATATAAAGTAAATATTTGGAAATTAATTAATTTAGAAATTGGTTTAATAATGAACCAGGCAAAAACGTTTTTTCTCGGCGATTTTTTTTTTAAACGAAGCAATATGATTCGGCCAGCATCCCATATCCTGGTTTTCAAATCGGTTTTATTTTTAGCACAAAACTGATTTAATGACGTCCATTTCTTCTATAAATACGTTCTGGAGAAATTAATGGATAGGTAATAGTAATTAATAATTATTAATCACAATACAAGGGAATTGATTTTTCATAATAATTATTGTTTTATTTATTTACCAAACATTTTACCGTTCTGATAGTTGTATTATCAGAAGAAAGTTTCCAATGTAAAAATGGATTTGAAAGCCTGATTGATCAAAAATCCAGAATAATCTGAAATTGATTTTAAAAGGTTAATAACTTTAGAAAAAATCATCTAAATCATACCCATTTAAAACACAATTTCCTTGAACGTAATTTCCCAAAGCGTAATTACAAAGATGCAATTTACTATCACTAATGATTACCTGTCCTCCTCAAATTGTAAACTAGCTTCGGTGGTGGTTAAGCCCAAAAAACTAGCCACGTTCGACATTATAGAGGGATATTGCGTTTCCACTGACATTTTTTCTAGTAGTAGAGGAAAACTTCGAAGGACAAAACACGCGAAAATCTCACAAGCATAAATCGAGCTCGTTTTTTTTTTTTTTAAATGAGACTATCGCGAATCGGCAGCAACAAGTGACTGGCGGCGCCTCGATTCTCGAAAAGTAGACGACGCGATGGTGCGTGATGCGTACACATTTTCTATGTTTTGTTTGAGAAATTGCACAGGGAAACTTAATTAAACCGTGAGACGATACGATTCTTTGATATTGATACTAAAACATTTAATATTTAAGAAAATGCTTTGTGAAAAGGAACTAAGGTGGTCAAGCGGATTAGAAAGATACATTTCAAATCTAATGCTATTGCGCTGATCCTTGATTTTTTCAATAACAGGCTGGTTTGATAGGTTTGTAGAGAATTTAATTGGCTTTAATTTGGGCCTAATTACATTGAAATCGGATGAAAATTAACGAAGCTGTCAAGACAAAAACTGTCTCAGTGTCATTTTTGGGAAATTTTCAATGCTCGATAAATCCAATTTTGAAGCTTTCTCAGATGCTAAACTGATGAAACCAAATTGAAATCTTAATTGATAAGTTTCTCTACAGAAGCTAATTGACTTTAATTTGAGCCTAATTACGTGGAAATCGGATAGAAATTGAAGGAGCTGGGACGCAAATATTGTCTTAGTGTCATTTTTGGAAAATTTTCAATGTTCGATAATTTCAATTTTGAAGCTTCTCAGGTGCAAAACTGTTGAGAAAAATATACAATTTTGTCTAGCTGAGTTAATAAATACAAAACCCCTTCAGAAACACAATTACCCGCAAAAACTCAAAAACCAATAGAAATTTTCAAAAACTTGGGGTTTTGCCAACCCTGCCTAATATACTTGAAATTCAAATTATTGAACTCAAAAAAGTAGTCCAGACTCAAAGTGAAAACGAAAATATATCAATAATTGGCTCTTGTTGAATTTGAGACACACTGTAAACATTTTCAAATTCAAATCTACAAAACATATATGTCTCTATGTCTCAATCCTCAACATTTGCCTATGGTAATTAAAGTTAATCCATCACTGTGAAAATAATAATAATAAAAAAAAAAACCAAATGACGTAAACAAGTTAAGCATGTTATAATCTAGGGATTGACAAAATAGAATTATAAATCCTTTTCCACATTTGAAGAAGATTTGATAGAAAACTAGAAAATTTTATGCGTTATTGTCCGGTGCTAAAAATTGATTTTTCTTAATATTGAAAGCCGTTAAAAAAATAATTAATCTTTACATCATCCAGCTATAATTAACAAAGAAAACCACACAAAGCAACACAAGCCTCCACCACAAACTTATCATAATTATTATTAAACAAATTAATTAGGATTTTTTAATCTCGCCTCAAACAGAGCATGTATTATAGTCCGGCAAATTGTAGTTTTGAGATAAAGAAATCCACTTTTATTGCACGTTTTATAAGCCCAAACATGGTAATTACGGTTTTATAATACCTCTAGGTTTACAGATTACTTAAAAAAATTAAATATATAACGCAGTTGCTTTAATGAGAATCACATGACGGACTTTGGATCGATGTCAAGCAAGACTTTAATACTATGAGGAAGACGTAATGAGTCAAGCTTGATTTTTCTGATTTGCTCAAATTCATTTTGGAAGAAATACATTAGAAGATTTACAAGTAAAAATTTCATGAAGCTGGAACCAGGATTTTTTTTTTTTCAAACATCAAACATACAGAACACAGGACACAATAGCACTTATCCAAGAACCTTGGATAAGACAAAGTAAAATCATAGGTTTAAGCACACTAACTAGTCGAGTCTTCAACAACCCCAGTAATAGCCAACCTAGGATGGCCATCTATTGTCCCAGGTCATACACAGCCCACCCACTGTCACAGCTATGTACGTCACTGATGCAGAACAACAGTGGGCAAAAGAAAGCCTGCGCAAGTGACGGGAACTGGAATCTATATAGAAGTATCTGATGGTTACTATCTCGTGGAGGGTAAAACCATCTGCTTTAAACGATAAATACTTAAGAAATTTCCTCTGGATGCGTTCAGTGGCATTGATATATTCGTTATAATGCGGATTCCAGATTAGTGAGCCATATTCTAGTTTATATCATACATAAGAGTAGTATAGAATTTTAAGTAATTGACCATTATTGAAAAGTCTGCATGTTCGAATAAGAGAACCAAGCATCTTCAAGGAAGCCTCTCTAATGTTCAGAACATGAGAGTTGAATGAAAGTTTTGAATCAAAGAGAATACCTAGGTCCTTAAAATTATTAACACGCTCAAGTGATACCGATTGAATCCTGTATTGATAAAATACTACATTCTTTTTAAGTGTGAAGGTCATAGTTTTGCATTTATCAATATTCAGGAGCAATTTGTTCACAGTATACCACTGATTAAGTTTATTGAGATCTTCCTGGGTCATCTGCAAATAGAAGTAGATTACTATTAATGACATTAGGTAGGTTATTAATAAAGAGCAGAAACAGCAAGGGGGCAAGATTGCTACCCTGTGGTGCGCCACTCGTTGCAACAAATTGAAATGACCTGTGACCTCTATGGTCAGACAAATATGAAGAAACAAAACAACGTAAATCTTTATCAAAACCAAAGTGTTCAGGAGTAGAGCGTGGTCTAGTCTACCAAACGCTTTTGAAAAGTCAATGTAAGCTGTATCAACCTGAAGACGAGAGTTTAATGTCACCCAAAAAAAAGTTATGACAGCTAACTATATTTTTTTAAATGAAAACACCAATTTTTTATTTCATTTTCAAATTCTAAATTAAATTCTGAACCTATTTCATGTATCATGTCCTATACCTATCTTCAACTGTTTCGGAAATATTGACACTCAACAATTGACTTTTTTGCAACTTCGACAGGCTGTAAAACCTAAACGGCAATTCCACTCATGTATAAATAATCCCATTTAAACTGTCAAAAATTGTAGTTTGCTAGCGGATAAATAGGAAGGAAGAGAAAATATAACTGGATAAAAAAATCGGATAAATTTTCTGTTGATGCAATCGTTACCATAGTAAAAATTGCATATTAAATTGGTTTTTGAATCATCTGTCAAATAATTGTCACAAAAATTCACAAATTCAATCAATTTAGCTCCGATTTTAGCTTATTAAAAGTGTTTTGTTATCTGAGATAAATAAATATTTTGTTTTGATTTTACCTTCGTGGAATTGCCGTACTAAATACCATTCGAGCTCAGATTTTGAGCAGGATATTTTTTTGCTTGCTCTCTCATACTTACTTTCATGCAATTTATCTCGATCTGTTCAATAAAATCACTCGAGCTGCGCTCTCGTGATTTTGTTGGAACAGCTCTCGTTAAATTTCCTGAAAGTAAGTATTCGAGACCAAGCCAAAAAATATCCGGCTAAATCTGAGCTCTTATGGTATTACCTACGATTAATTTTAGAGCAAAACCGATCATACATTCTTATCTTAGTTTGCCATAAACTATCATTTGACACCAAATTTGAATTTAACCGGAGATTAAATTTAGTTGGAATTTTTAATCATGGATTAAATTCAAAGTTGGTATTAAATGATAGTTTATAAAAATCTAAGACAGGAATGTAAAATCGGTTTTCCCTAAAATTTACCGTTTAGGCTGTACAGCCTGTCAAAGTTGCAAAAAAGTCAATTTTCAACTGTCAATATTTCCGAAACAGTTGAAGATAGGTATAGGACATGATACATGAAATATGTTCAGAATTTAACGTAGAATTTGAAAATGAAATAAAAAATTGGTGTTTTCATTTAAAAAAATAAAGTTAGCTGTCATAACTTGTTTTTGGGTGACCCTGTATATATGGTATTATTATCAAAAAAACGACCAATAAAATCAAAAATTGATGTGTCCGAGGTTTTTTGAAAAATATCCACCCTGTATATTTTATAGATTTTATTCCAACCTTTACGTGCTCACTGTATAATGATTTAATATTGTCAAGATATCAGAATCTCAAATAAAGTGTTGTAATAAGTTTACGAAAAATTAGGCCGTAAATATCTACATACTTCATACTTCTATAATGGGCCACTTTCACATTTTTCAAAAACATATTTAAATTATTCTTTAAGTCATTTTAATACTATCTGAATCCTTTTTTCCGAAAAAAAAACGCTTATTTTTGAAAAAAAAATTATTCAAAAATCGAATTTTTAAACTGACGCGAA